ACGAGGGGCATATAATTTGATATATATTGAAGGAAGAAATAAATGGAAGACTGCATTTTGAATCAGGTACAAACATTTTGAATATAATGTCATGCCTTTTGGACTTACAAATGCACTAGTAGCTTTTTAATATCTAATGAATGATGTCTTTTAAGAATATTTAGATGATTTTATTATTTTTTATTTAGACAACATCTTAATTTATTTTAATAATACAAAATATGAACTTTATGTTTATTATGTATTATAAAAACTAAGAGATACAGGATTCGATGCTAAATATATATATATATATTTTATACTACTTAAGTTGACTTATTGAGATATATTATTTTAAATGATAGACTTGTGATGGATCTTAAGAAAGTTCAAACTATTATGGATTAGAAGTTTTCAAAAATGATAAGAGATATCTAATACTTTTTAAAATTTGCCAATTACTATTAGATCTTCATCAAAGAATTTTTTTAAATTGTAGATTTACTTACATTTTTGACTTATAAAGACAAATTTCAATGGAATCAAGAAGAAAAAGTAATATTTGAAGCTTTAAAATAATCTTTGTTTCTGTACTAATTTTATATTGCATCGACTTTTTTAAGTTATTTTTTATGAAAAAAAATGTATTAGACTTTGTTTTGAGTGCCATATTATCATAAATGGAAACAAATAATAAATTTCATCTAGTAGTTTTTTATTTTTTAAAATTTTTAGCAATAAAGATCAACTACAAGATCTACAATAAAAAAAACTTCTTGTAATTGTGGATTCATTTTAAAAATGGCACCATTATTTAGAAAGTACTCCTAGTTCAATCACTAAGTATATAGAGTACAAGAATCTTAAGTATTTTATGCCAACATACATTTTGGATCATTGACAAGCTCATTAGAATATGTCTTTGTCAAGATTCAAATTCAAGATTATTTATTGACCAAAAAAATAACAAGATATGTTAGATACATTCTTTAAATGATCTTACCTTATATCAAAAGAATGAGATGCTGCTTTTGATTAATTTTAGATAATTTTCTTAAAGCTAAAACATCTTCATCTTCAAGCAATGAAATCAATAGTAATTGTTAATTCAACTTTTATTAAGTAAATTCAATTATGTATATCTCTGATCTTCTTATTTTTAATATTAAGGAAAATCCTTCAAAGTCCCATGATACTTCTAAGTTTGAATTCAAGAAAAATCTACTATATTTTAAAGAGCACTTACATATTCCAAAAGATGAAGTTTGATTACATATTTTTTAAGCTCTTCACGACTTTTCAACAATAAGATATTTTGGATATAATATAACTTTGGAACTAATATCCAAGGATTTTTGATAGATTCCAAATATGGAAGATAGTTAAAGTTTTTGTACAATCTTGTGATATTTGCTCAAGATAAAAAATTCCTTGTTATTGACCTTATGGACTTCTTTAGCCATTATCCATTTTAGAATAACCATTTTCTTTTATTTCCATGGATATTATTATAAATCTTTCAAATTTCAAGTTATTATGATTCTATATTTGTAATAGTAGATTGTTTCACCATGATAGTATATTTTATAACATGTAAAAAATCTATCAAAATTTAAGAAATAGCCAAGTTTTTTCATAATAATATCTATTGTTATCATAAATTACCTAAGAATATTATATTAGGTAGGAAAACTTAATTTATATCAAGATTTTAGAAGATACTTTTTAAGATTATAAACATAAATATAAAACTATCTTTGGCTTTTTATTCTCAAATTGATGAACAAACAAAGCATGTAAATTAAGTTTTGGAGCAATATTTGTAGTATACCATCAACTATCGACAAGATGATTGGATAATTCTTTTACCATTAACAAAGCTTGCTTATAATAATATGATACATTTTTCTATGCAACAAATACCTTTCTTTACTAATTATGGTTATCTTTGATGGCTTGATGCTTTTGACTTTTCAAAAGTTGATAATCCTACAATAAAAGATTTACCAAATTATTTATCTGAGCTACATACAAAAATAAAGTCATGACTAAAAGAGGTTCAAGAACAACAAAAAAATAATAGGGATTCGTATTGCAAGCAAAAAAATTATTTCTACATTGGTGATAAGATATGGTTACTTTGTCATAATATTAAAACTATTTGTCCTTGTGACAAGTTGGATTATTATAGACCAAGACCATTTCTTATTTATGAATAAATCAATCTAGTTACTTATCAATTACATCTATTGGAGTCTATGAAATTCCATCCCATATTTTATATATCTCTTTTGGAGCTATAAATGACAATGAATATTATGGAAAGAAGACAAATACCACTGCCTCTTATAGAAATAGATAATAATCAAGAATTCAAAGTAGAAGAAGTCTTAGATTTGATGCAGCACCAACTAAGGTTGAAATATCTTATTCATTAGCTTGGATATGATATTAAAAAAATGTACATGGGAACTAGCAAATAATCTTATAAATGCAGCAAAAAAGGTCAAAGCTTTTGATCAACAATATCCATTAAAACTAAGATGAAGAATAACAAACATTTGCTACAAAAAAAATATAATTTAAAAAAGATTATATTCTATCTTTTATCCTTGTTTATAGTTTGTGTATAATTGTGGCATTAAGGAAATGGAGAACTAATAGCTAATAGATTCAAGTCAAGAGCCATCATTTATTGATTTATTGCATGAGACATTATGATTATCACAACCTTCAAGATAATGTAATAAGAATGAAGATCTTCAAAAGTGACATGTTCTTTTTCAAATATATGGCAAGATATAACATATAACTATTATAGCTTTTTTTTTTTATAAAATACCTCAATAGATATTATATTACATTTTAATATTATTTTTGCATCTTCAATACTTTTAAGAATATTTAAATACTAACATATATAAGTTTAGTACAAGATTTGTCAATACATGAACCAATCCATTTGTTTTTTTTAGGAATTTCACTTATTTATTACTCAAGTAATTGTCAAAGATTATAAATAAAATTTTATGTGTGGTAAAAGCTTTGAAAGAACAAAAAAATATTTTAAACTTAATTGCCTTTGATAAATACTTTATTCTAATTAAACCTATAATAAAGACATAATATTTAAATGACTATTATTCAAATACCAATAATTATATTCAAAATCTTATCAATATTCAAATTAAATTTTTATAATTATAGTTTTAATTTTTGTCTTTTTCAAAATCCTTAAAAAAAAAAATCAATAACTTATCTTAATATTAACTATCATGAATCACCTAAAAAAGTGTTGTAGAATCCAACTAACTCATACTATAAGTCTTATTAGAACTTATGATTAGGCACATGTTAAAATATTTTTTAAACCATCCTATTTGTTTTATAAACTAATGTGGCCAAAAGCTAATGGAAGCAATTTGTTGATATTTCCGAGTTTTTCCATGGCTTCAAAACTTAAAATTGTAAAACTTAAGGAAGATAACACTCTATAATTTTTAAAAAAGGTGCCACAATTTTTGAAAGCCTTGTAGAATTTAGCAAATTCTTCCATCCAACGACTTTATAAAAAATCTAATACACATGTTTATTCATTTTTATTTTATTTTATGTTTTTTAATCCAAAAATTTTAAAAAATTAACTTGAAGATTATTCAATTTGATTCCAAAAAGTATATTTTAAATTTTCTAAATTATGTATTCTTCAATTTGAATCTTATTGGAACAACCTAAATGTGTGTGGTTATTTAAATGTTGTACAAGTGCTATAAGTCTCTTTACTTGGTCAATCACAATGAAATTATTATTCCATATACATTTAGGATTTACAAATATTTTAGTGTCACTAAAGTTGTGGAAGGGTTGAACACCACTCCGTGATCTTTTTTGTTTAGTGTTATGTCATTCTTTAATAAAAAGATTATTTTTATTTTTATATTTTTATGATTGAAAAAAACTAGTGGATGAACATCAAGTTTATTATTATTTTTATCATTTTTTGTGGCAATCCCTTTAGTTCTATCATCTCTTCAAATTATATAGATAGGAAGCACAGGTACTTTAAAGAAAACATACTCATTTGCTATAATTAAGATAATTATATGTATTCAAAATGTACAAAAATGCTATAAATTTGTCTTCTTATTCTTTATCTTTTATCTTTTTTGAATTTTTATTCCACATCTATTCAACACAATTTCAAATACCAAAGAAAAGTCTTTCTTTTGATACTCCCAAGCAACAATTGACTTTCATAGCATATTGCAAACAACTTGATTGACCACACTTAGAAATTTCATGCCCTCAATCTGCTTCTCTTATGAAAAAAAAAAAAAAACCCAATTCAAAGGATCAACTCCAATACTTTTTCAAAAAGCAACTCTAAACTCAACAAAAAAAAAAAAAAGAAGAAAGAAAAAGAACGATTATAACCACAATAAATCAAACCCAAATGGTAAGTGGGGGAACAAATGCTTCCGAAACACAAATGGTGTGCAAAACAAACAAGAAAACGGGGACTCTCACAACATTTGTATGCGGGGATGATGACCATGAAATCCTCCCCTCCATGGACCCACAAGAGTAACCCTAAAGCAAGCACAAGTGGGGCATAGTCTTCCAATCACTCTCAGTGCACATGGCTTTAGACCACGTACGCAGTCCACCGCAACAGTTTTTTGTTTTTTTGTGCCAGCTGGATGGGCCACGGGCAGGAAGAACGGGCAGGGTAAAGGGCAGAAGGGCATAAGGGCAGACGAAAAAAATAAGCCGTCCCAATCGTCTCGCACCCGTGAGTCCTCGTCCATGTGCCACCTGTAGCCGCCCTGGGGAAGACAGGGCGGGTATGAATGCGAACACGAGTGGCACCCGCGACGGGTGACGGCGAGTGAAGAATAATTGAGAAGAGGGGTAGAAGGGGGATGAACGGGCCGGGTCTCCTCCGTGACCGGGTTCCTACCTTTGAAGCTGTTTGTAGCCCGTCCCCGCTCAAGCTGTTCAATCACCCGCCCCCGCCCCCCCTCCCTCGTCAAGGATTCACTCACACTCTGTCTTGGCCTCGCTCCCTGCTTTGCTTGCTTTGTTGCTTGCTTCATTGCTTGCTCGAGAGTGCGCCTCGCCACACAATCCTTGCGCTGGGGGAGGGAGGGGAGGGCAAGGGGACGAAGACGAGGACGGAAGGGAAGCGGTGTTACGGTGTAGTGGTTGTTTCTTGATTTGGAGGTAGTAGCAATGGGGCTTCTTGATTTGGAGGTAGTAGCAATGGGGCGAATACGGTGATGGATGGATTACAGGACGGACGGGACGAAGAAGAAGGCCTGAGATGATGTGATTGTGGCGTCGGAGTGTGGAGTGGCCGAGAGGAGAGGGCGCAGTGTTGAGGAGGTTGTGGAGATTGGATCTTGGAGATAGGCAGCAGATATGGCTGCGAATGGAGGTGTCGACGTGCAGGTGCAGGATGAGGCGCTGCGGACGTCGTACACGCCCAGCGAGATGCGTCACCTCAAGACTCAAGTGCGTGCCTGGTTGATTAATAATTCCCCTGGTTGAGTGAGGGGTGGGGGTGGAGAATTGGTGATTGGTTATGAGAATCGGTTGGCAGTTGCGTTGAATTCTGTGGTTGGGATGATGCTGGTTGGCTTGAATTTGGTTTTGGTCTCTTGTCTCACGTGTAGGTGCGAAATTTGTGACTTAATTTGATGCGTGAGAAGTTGTGATATGAGCGGGGGTTCATTAGCAGCTGGATATGTTTGTGGGGTTGGATGCTGTGAGCAGAGAGATTCTTAGATTGTGAGGTAGGGATGGAGGGTTAGATACAGTACGTGTTTGGTACATTTGGAAGATTGTTCACCCTGCTGCTCTGTGTTGGTGAAGGAAGCAAACCGGTGGCTGAGCTATGTACGATCTTGGCATATGTTTACGGAAGTGCAATTGTCTTTTTTTTTCTTTTTTCTTTTTTTCTTTTTTTCTTTTTTTTTTTTTTTTTTTTTTTTTTCTTTTTTTGGATGAAGCGGAGTGTTTACAATTCAATGTGGACAATGTGAAAATAGACTCGTAGTCTTTCTTTGAGCTCAAAAAGTTTCTTGTCTATCGTATGCCTCATTGCAATGAGGCGATAGAGTTTGCAATTTTAGAATTAGGTCTCACCTTCTCCTCGCGTCATCACTCGTACGGTGACACTTTCTGCCGGGGTGTCTTCTTACCCCTTACTCAAACATGTAATCAAGAATGTGTGCTTGATCCCTTACTGAGGGGATAGGAAACTTGCACAGTCCAGATCCAAGACTGAATTGGTAGCTCGTAGACATAAACCTCATTGGAGTCTAGTTTTGTTCCGAGCACACGCATTGTATTGTCATGTTATCGTGGCAAGAGGTGCATTTGTGTTTCTTCAAAGTGCCTGTGCTCTTCAGCGTGCCCATCTGCTGTAGGTGGTGAATTTACCAATTAGTGTCGTGATACCATTGTTTCGTTCACTGCGCCGAATTGCAGTGAATGTCGAGCAAGCCTTGGCCCGCGTGAATTTTATTCATTAAGTATTGATGGTTGACGAATCATCACTTGATTTTCATTTTTTATTTTTTTTTCTCACAATGCCTAAGCGTAACCTGATTCTTCACAGTTTGGGGAGTGATTTGAAGCCTCTCTAACTTCCTTTTATAAGTGTTGAATTCCATGTATAAATTGTGCTGGTTTCGATGCTGTGACAAGAAGTCGACATATTTTTAGCCTAAAATGTGCAGTCGAAGTTACTGATTCATTCTGTTCTCTGTTCTGCAGTTCGAGCTATTCAACACTGGGAAAACAGGAATTCTTACTGTAAATGAGTTGGAAGCAGGGATGAAAGTCTTGAAAACCCATCAGTCAGCGACCTTAAAAGAGGTTCAAGATATACTTACCAAGTATGACTCAAAGAAGCAAGGGGGACTTGACTTTGAAGATTTTTTACGAGTACCTCTCAGGCCCTATCCTTTTGCTTGTGCACAATCTTAAAGAACAGTTCATCAAACAATGGTCACTCAGATCACGATTCTCGGAATTGGTTATTTCGGATCCACTTACTGCTCTAAGAGATACTGATGTAATACAGCCACACCTGACGAAATACCACAAACTATTGAACACAGATGCAGATGGAGTTGCCCAAGGGAGGACGAGGGTTCAGGCAGAGTCCAGCAAAGGGAGATTCATCCTTCTTAACAAGTACAGCTACCACGTTGGTTCATACTATCAGTGATTCTGAGAAGAAGGCTTATGTAGACCACATTAACATGTACCTAGAAAAGGACCCCGTTCTTCAGCGGGTTTTGCCCATTGACCCATCAACGAATCAGTTGTTTGACATCATAAAAGATGGCATCCTTCTTTGGTGCGTAGGGTTTTCTTCTGTGGTCTGATCTGATGCTGAACTTGGATATCCGTTTTGCGTAGGGGAGCCTAGAATTTTTGTAGAGGCAAAGCGACATTTCCTTTCATTGTGGTTGGTTTCTGTTCAGGCTATTGCGGAGATTGAATTAACCATTTGATATTTTTAATTTTTTAATTTTTATTAATTTTAAAAATCTAGACCTGCTCTTACTTATAAGTCCAGAGAGACATCTTTGCTTAAGAAGGGGGAACTTCATTTGGAGTGTTGCTGCATTGGGATGAAATATTGAACTGAATTATTTACTCCTCGTCAGTTTTCTTGACAAAGATTTCAAATGGTGCAGTAAATTGATCAATGTGGCTGTTGCCGGTACAATCGATGAGAGAGCGATCAACATGAAAGAGAAGTTGAATCCGTGGGAGCGAATAGAGAATCACACCCTTTGTCTCAATTCTGCTAAAGCTATTGGTTGCTCTGTTGTCAACATTGGCACTCAAGACTTGGGCGACGGAAGGGTAATGACTAGTGCACGATTTTTACTAAGGATAGATGTAACGAATGTACGAAGCTTGTGTTGTTGGTTGTTAGCTGATGTTGGACATTTTAATGGTGTGACCATCCATAGTTGGTGCTTGATCTCATTAGTCATGATGTGTGGGTTGGTGCAGCCACATTTGGTGCTTGGCCTCATTAGTCAGATTGTGAAGGTATGTGTTACACGACTGTTCTGTGCAATGTAGGTTAATCACATGATGCTTAGTTGGCTGCCTAGCCACTGTAATTGAGTGTAAGATAGATTGCTGCTTATTGTCATTGCTGACTAGTCTTTGCTGATTTTAGGAACTATTGGTCATGAACAACTCTATTGGCTCTAAGTACTGCACAGTCCGTCGCTGGGTGGTAATGAGCGTTGTATGACGAGTCGTACTGGCTTAGGGGCTGTCTATTGGTATTCAGGTCAATTATATGCTGAAGAACCACATTATGGAACACAAATACTGAAGCTTTATGTCTTTTCTGCAAACAGATACAACTACTGGCAACAGTGAATCTGAAGCAAACTCCAGAGCTTGCTGAGTTGCTCGATGAAACCGAGGTCTGCACAATACCCATTTGTGCTTAATCGGTTATAGATGGAACTTACATTAAAATTGTTATCTTAGCCTAGCTAGATTCATGTATGCTGGACTGTTTGAATAATGTTCAGGTATTCTATATTGCACCCAAGCTGCTTAATGTTATTGCTATTATGTCTGTTGAGGATTATATTAGGAATTTGATGAGCTATGGAGCATGCCAGCTGAGAAAATCCTGCTGCGGTGGATGAATTTTCATTTGAAAAAAGCAGGCCATAAGAAGACCGTGTCAAATTTTACTACTGACGTAAAGGTAATTGTTTGGCTTTTATCTATTTGCGGTGGAATTCCGGAGCTTGTGCTAAATTGGAAAATCACATAGCACTGCTTGTTCATTGTGTCTCTTACTGTTGTGTTGGTGTTATGTTTTTGAACCATACTATTTTATTGTCTTCATCTCGATCAGTTATGTTGCAACCTCCTTTTGTTTTTCCTCCTCATTTCTGCCCATTGCTAAGAACCTGTACGAAACTATCTATTCAGGATGCCACAGCCTACTGCCTCCTTTTAAATCAACTGGCTCCAGAGTCCTGTTCGTTGGATCCTCTGCATATTGAGGATGTGTATGAGCGATCGAAGGCTGTTCTTGCACAAGCTGAGCGCATCAATTGTCGAAAGTACATCACTCCGAAAGACTTGGTTGAGGGCTCAGCCAATCTCAACCTTGCTTTTGTGGCACATCTGTTCCACACGAAGTGCGTTTTCATATCAATAAGTATCTCATGGATTTCGTCACGTTGGAATCTTTCAAAGTGTTAAGGGTTCCTATTGGGGATTCCATAGCATTGATGCCTCTAAAATCGCACGGATGGTTGTATACATGTGTTTGCAGGATAATCGTATATGTAGGATGTAAAACACGAGTTGTGGACTGGATTCATTAAGTTTAAGTCCAGACCCTAGAGCTTTATTAGGCATCGGTTTGCACTTGCAGTTGTTCTGATGTCCCTTACTGTTGACTATACAGAAATGGGTTAACTCAAGACACTTCTAAGTATGATTATGCTGAACTGCTTCAAGATGATGAGTACAAAGAAGCTTCAAGAGAGGAGCGCATGTATAGGACGTGGATCAACAGTCAAGGCACTGAGACTTTTGTCAGTTCTCTATTTGAGGACGTTCGAGATGGGTACGTGTTTTTATTGTAAAATCCCTCTCTCTCTCTCTCCCTCTCTCTCCCTCTCTCTCCCTCTCTCTTTATATATATATATATATATATATATTGGAGTTTTTTCAGCATCAATAATGTTGCCTAAGGTACCTCCACAAATAGATGAAATGACCTTTGGTTGTGAATTTGTTTTGTGATTAGGTGGGTATTGTTGGAGGCTTTGGACAAGGTCGCACCAGGTTCAGTTAATTGGAAGAGCGCCACTAGACCACCAATAAAGTGGCCCTTCAAAAAAGTAGAGAATTGCAACCAAGTTGTTGACATTGGCAAAAGGCTGAAGTTTTCACTTGTTAACATCGCAGGATTGGATATTGTTCAAGGCCAAAGAAAACTCATTCTGGGTAGGAAGTTCACGTTTGCATGTAATATTTGGTCAGTACAGTTCAGCTATGCTTGATAGAAGTTGGAATTTGAGAGCTAATGGGTACGCATGTTGAACATGCTCGCAGCGTATCTTTGGCAGTTGATGCGGTTCAGCATGCTACAACTACTTAAGGATCTGAAGCTACATGGACGAGAGGTTTCTGATGCAGATATAATTCACTGGGCTAATCTCAAGGTTAGAAATGTTGGGAAAACTTCTCGAATGGAGAACTTTAAGGTAACATGTGTACCTACTGTGTTTCCCAATTTTCCTAACTCCTATATATCGTTCAAACTTCCATTGTTCTAGGATACTGGTCATTGTTATTTTGAAACTAATCACCTTCTACATTAAATGTCTTAGAATTATCTTTCTCTTTCACCTCCTGCCCCTGGAGTTGCTTTTACATGCTAAGCATACCATATTTATTGCTCTTGGATTGTGTATGCAGGATAAAAGTTTGTCTACAGGATTGTTCTTTCTCGATCTTCTGGGTGCAGTAGAGCCGCGAGTAGTGAACTGGACTTTGGTGACCAGGGGAGTGACAGGTGACTTACTTGATTTTAGTTTATAAATTTTTAATCCACGTTAGGGAACTCTGACATAAACATTTCAATGTCTGGATAAACATGAGCAGTGTAGGTTGCACTCTTACATCACGTAGCAGCTTCTAGTTGTTTATGAAAAATGGTGTTTGCATTTGCTAATTGCTGAATCGATTTCCTATGCCTGCTTGCTTTTTCTTCAAATTCACTGAGTATTCTGCTTATGTTTACAGACGAAGAAAAGCGAGTTAATGCTACTTACATCATCAGTATCGCACGAAAGCTGGGATGCTCGGTTTTCCTTTTGTGGGACGATATTGTTGAGGTGAGCACCTGAGTCCGGCAAGGTTAGATTAAGGCTCTAAGAATTTCTATGGATGGAATTCCTGTCGTGTGCAGTTCTGGATTGTTTTGGACATATATCTCTGGATCTTGGTTTCATGACAAAGTGCTAGGCATAATCTTGTATCGTTGATTTCAATTTTTGTTTTATTGCAGTTAACTGTGAATTATACCAGACCCCACACGTACCCTTTTTCTTGTCCAATGCTCATTGTGGGAGACTTTTTATGCGAGTATTTCATTTCTTGAGAGGTTAATGATTCTATTTAAAATCTGTTCACAGGTTCGGCCCAAGATGATATTGACACTAACGGCAAGCATCATGCTATGGAACTTGGCAAATAAGGCTTCAAAGGAGTCTGAGACCAGTGCATCCTTAGGAAAGTGGGCAGCTGCGGTCTCTAAGATTGACGCCACCAACAAGTTCGGGAATTCGTTGCGTACTTCTGTTTAGATTGGGTAGAAAATGGACAAATTACTGATATTGGGGGAGTGTCTCATGGGGTGCACACCATTTGTATTTATTGATTTTCGCCTGTAGATTTTCTGGGCATCTTTAGAAGTCCACCGACCATTCCCCATTTAACTCTGATGAGTTGAACTTACGACGACTCTTCTTGTTGCCGAGTGCATCCGCTCTCAAGATGCACTGAAGCCTACTCCGCTTTATGTTATACAGCGGGGCTCCGGGAAGTCTCTTAATGAGAATTCATGTAACTCTACTTTATCATGAAAATGGCATGAGTCTGCACAGAAGTATCTGTCTGCCAGTACCTCAGCAAGATGAAGTTGCATCGCAACAATTGACTCACGTTTCTTGCGCTAACCAGTACATCAGCGCATCTTCAGAGCTTGTTGTTGTTCAGCAACTGGAAGGTATTGAGAGCCACAAGTGTTGCAAGATGTTTCCATGCCATGTCTTAAATGATTATAGGACATGGTGGTGTGGTCTCGATTAGTGGAATTGTCCTAGCTTATGTGATCGCTAGCAAATTCCCAATGAACTGTATCATAATCTAATTTTCAATAAGCAGCAGAACTTTTCAAACTTGCCATCAAAACCACAATCTTGAATCTTGAATCTTTTAAATTAATTATCTTTAAGCACATATAACACTTCTTCCACACAACTTTAACATCTGAATTTCAAAATATAAAACATAAAATTTTGATACAAAATAAAAAATTAAGCGTTGAATTTCTTGAGGATGCATTTTTAGTAAAAATATTTACATTATTATACATGTAAAATTAATAAATATATAGGGTATTCAAAAGCATAAACTTAAACTGTAAAGTTACTAGATTCAATAAATAATGCTGAGATTTCCTTATACAACAGGGTTCTACTGACATTAGTTTGTTCAGAGTGATTTAAATTACAAATTATCTTACTAAAAACCAGCTTTTTAATCAACAAACGTGTGCTCTACTCAATTATTTGAAACGATTACAAGATTGAGACTATAAAAAAACAAAAATATTAATAATATTATTAATAATAGAAATAAAATGGCTTGAGTAATCCCCCAAGGATTGAAATTATAAACCTAGTTTAAGCGGTTGAACCGAGAGTGTCAATGCAGTAAAAGTTGGAACCCTCAGGACGGGCAGCCCATAAACGAGATTGAAACCCTGCATGAGAACTAAGTACGGTTCATGACCTGATTGAGATTGAGGCTTGGGTAAACCTGAGTGAGAACTAGGCATAGGTTATGAATGGGTTGAGATGGAGGCCCGGGGGAGCATCAGGGTTGCTGTCTCTCTCGCTCGCCGGTGCCAGGGCCCTGACATTCCGAAAAGGATGTTAATTTCGACGTCCGTCAGCGATAGTCACCGTCGTCGGTTCCATCGATCTTGCATTTTGCCTGCATTACAACCAATTTTTGTGCTTCTCATCGGGGTTTATGTACCGAGGTTTCCGCCTATAATGAGGTCTGCAATCGTCTGCTTGCGAAGGAACTGCGAAATTCGGTGAGTTTCTGACCCTTCGGCGTTTTCTAGTTCGCAGACCTTCGTTCACCGCAGTGTAACTGAAGGCTAGCATGCGAGGACACATTTTTTGCGTAATGGAAATTTCTATGCTATGCTGTTGCATTTTGGAATAAATTTTGCTATCGAAACTGCAGGATATTGTTACGAAGCTGCGTAATTTTGGATTGGCTTCAGTGGGTCAGTTGATTTCCTTCTCCTGTGCGCTATAGACTTTTTGGTCTTTGGGACGGTGAGGGTACGTGCCAGTGTCTACTTGATATAGCATTCTCCCGAGTGTCTGAAACATCTGAGTATCTGGAGTTTCTTTTCTTATGTTTCTAACAAGTCCGTTAAGTGAGTATTTACACCGTCTTGTCCTTTTCTATTTTCTAATTTCTATTTTATTTTATTTTTCACTTTATAACTAGGTCTTTGAGGTAGCTGTAGTTGTGTGGGACACTGAGACATCAGCCAAATTTCTCGATCTTCGGAAAATATGTATTTTATTTTAGATTCCGTTGCATATTCATTTAAGTTCATTACATGAAAATATTATTGAATTGAATTACAATGAGTGTTATGGCCTGAAGGGTGCTCTCTGTGATGCGATCCAGTCTGATATTCGCGTCAAGGAGATTTAGATGATCGAGTGTTTTGGACATGGCTACATATCACTCATCAGTTGAAGTGCTTCTCTCCTTTGCTGGTGGATATTGGGATTGGAGCCAGAAATGCAAACGAGCTCTGTATTCCGATATTTAAACATGGAGAACCCAAAAGTACATTACTTTCTAGGGATATATGTAAGTCGCCGTGTCTCCTTCAGCTTTAATGACAAGTTCTTGTGTTTGGAGCTGATCAATCCACGCACCTTTTCTTCGCATTGGTGTATCCTGTGGCATGTATCAAGTTGCTGTTGACGTTTCCCATCATAAAGAGCGATCTCTAGCATTCAGCAGAGAACGAAAAATTAGATTGAATTCTACCTTATGAGCAAGATGTTGGATGTCACTCTTTCTTTGGTGGAGCATGTGTAATAGTTATAAAAATGATCTAGTTGTAAGATGTTTGTTATGGTGGGTCTGCATGAATCGATTAGAATGAAGAAGCATGGTTTCAGCTTCGCTGCAGGCTGCAAAGGGCTTGGTAGTGGAGTAATAAAAGCGAGAGGAATTGGGTTCCAGATTTTCTTTCACAATGGTACTTCCACAAAAGGCCAAACACAATCATTTTTACGAAGGCAATACCAGTGAAGGCAATGTTAGCTACACTGTCATCAAAGTGGCTTACGATCCTCAGCCGAAAAGACTTAAAGCATTACATCAATTAGGACATGTGAAGGAGGAAGTCGAAGAAGTTCAGAACCTTGTACCTGAAAATTTTGAAGCAACGAAGCAAGAATGTCCTTTAGAGCTCAAGAATATCGAAGCGGAGCATTCGCCAGGTTGTGTTTCCGGATTAGACGAGAAAGTCCCTTTGGAGGGAAAAATTGTCGAAGTGCCAGAATCTGTAGGTGGTGCAGAGGAGACAGTTGAATTGGAGGACACAATAACTGAATACGAGAAAAAAAGGTTGCAGAATGTGCTGCGGAACCAGCAATTCCTTCAAAGTCTTGGGATCTTTAACACCAAGACCAGCTTGGAACTTCGGACTCCGAAGAGGACTTGGACGAAGTACATTCCTCCTCCTGACAAGCCTCTGCGACGAAGTTTTCGTCCTCGAATTCCTTCACGGAGGAATTCTTTTCCAGATGAATACACTGTGAGGAAAAAGGTTCCCGCTGTGACTGCAGTCAGTGGAAAGGAGAAGCTTTTGTTGGATGTAGAAGTCGCCATAAAAGATAAGCGTTTATTGGAAGAGGAAGTCTGTGTGAAAGAGAAGCGTTTGTCAGACATAGAAGCTTCCGTTAAGAAAACAGGTCGAGATGTCGAAAGGATAAGCCCAGGAATCAGTAGCGGAATAGAACGGACAGTTGAGTCGAAGGGTAAATTAACGAAATATGAGAAAAATAGGTTGCAGAATGTGCTGCGTAACCAGCAATTCTTACAAAACCTTGGGATCAACACCAAGCGCAACTCAGTGGTTCGACCTTTAAAGAAGCCCTGGGCTAAGCACTCTCCACCTGAAGGGCCTTTGCGGCGAAGCGTCCGTGAAAAAATCCTTTCACGGAAGAAGCTTCTCTCAGATGCTGGTTACACTGGTGGGAACGCAGCTTTCAACTTGAATCCAGTTAGTGACAGGGAAAAGTGTCCGTTATTTAAGACGTACACATGTGCAGCTGACACATCTCCTTTTCAATGTGATGATCTAATTTCTGTAGACTGGTCTAATGTTGTGGGTTTCCAAAATAAAGAGACCCTGGTGGATTCATCGCTGGATGAAATCTCCAGCATGGATCATATACTAACTGAAGGGGCGACGGGCTTACTGGTAGCAGCCGATAGCCACAGCAGATTTGCAGTTTTCGAGACAAATTCGGCCTCAAATCTTACTTCAGGGTCCATCCGTGTTTCTACAAGGTTAGAGAGAGTGGCCATTGAAGGTGATCGTAAAAGAGCTAGTCTTTGTTCGTGGAAGAGACCGGAAGGGTTCACTTTCGGAGGTTTTGTGCACTCGGAGATACAGTTTCTATCTCAGCAGCCTCAGGTTCTGGCTCAACTGCCTGTCACACGTGGACATGTTTTTTGAGCTGTATCCGAATGCTTGCTAGGTTTTTGATATGTTAATTGTTGTTTCTGACGAGCATCTTTTAATGCCACCTTTGCAGATGTTTTGTGCGCAACAAACTGGTGCAACAATTTTTACTTGAAAATTCAGATCAGTTTTAGTTCTTGTCTTCGGCTTGCAATAGTTTCAAAGTTTATTACTGAAATTCGGATGACGTGTAGGAGAGGAATCTTCTACTTTCAAGCGCACCAGGTGCGAGTTTAATCCTCTGGGACGTGAACAAGCAGTGTCGTGGACAGACGCAACCTCGTGCTAAGGCGAGGTGCGACAACCTTCATTCCAAGGACATCCTGGGGATGCATGAATTAGATGGCCAAATTGCGACAGTATCTTACGATTCATCACTTGTACAATCCACGATCACAGAGGCGGGAATCGAAAAGAAAAGAGTCATCACAGGACATCATACGGGTACCATTAGAGGCGTGCGATTCAGGTGCTACAATATTTCACTTGTGTCACTTCAGGCTACAAAGCATTACACAAATCCGTCATGAACTATAAACCTCAATCGCTTTCTGTACCAGTTGCTTGCTGATTATGATGATTGCATAATTGCCTCGAAGTCTTGGACAACTTGTTGCTTAATGCTTCAAATAGACTTACATGTGTTACCACGTCATGCTTGCAGGGAAGGCAACATTCTTGCCGATTGCGGCACAGACACTCGAATCTGCATCTTAGATCTGAGGATATCGGATCCGTGCGTCTTAACTATCAATTGCTTGCGTAAAAAAGCAGTCGAAGTGGTTGAATGGAGCCCCATACAAGAGCATCTCCTTCTTTCAGCATCCAAGGGCCCTCATCTTCTTGTTCACGACATTCGGAGCTGTGCAGCACCACTTTACACCTTGACAGGACATATCCAGGTCGTCTCCAGAGCTAGAAAATACAGGCCTGCATTTGTTGGAGACGGAAGCATGGTCGCAACTCCTGGAGAAGGCTCCAATATGCTCACGCTTTATTCCCTCAATACAGGCAAGATTATAAGCCAAGGATTTTTGGGTTTTGATCCCACCTACGTCATGGGCAGTAGACGGACTAAGGGTAATAGATTGAACATTTGGGTTCAGGGCCCTAAACACGGCTCTATTGTACAGTTAAGTCCTATTTTCGAATAGTCAACAGGAGAAACATGGACGAAAGATTTCCACGTGTCAAGTTCCCTCATGTGGCAGAATTCTGAAGACGCAAGGAAATTCATCTAATTTAAAAAAACATTTATCTCACCTTTCTGCTCAGATCACAGCTCGTGAAGCAGGTCCTACTTTTGGGGGGGGGGGGGGGGGTGGGTAGCAAGCTTGCCACTTTAGAGATAATCTTCTCATCTTCTCGTACTCTCAGATACTAATCTTGGTGGGAGAAAGTGTCGAAGAAATCTGAGATCCCTGTTTGGAGCATGTCAATTTCAACAGTCTCCTTGCTTCTACTTCACCAGGTGATATTCATCGGATACGCATTACAACCCTTGAATTGATGAAATGAGATTAGTCATTCTCCGACCTTCAAGCCTGAGCTTAGCACCATTCTCTTTAATATCAAGTTGATTTGCCAAGTGACGCTATCTTTGTAAACGTTGGACAGCTTCTGAACCCGCCAACCACCCAATACTTACAGATAGTTTTTTCAGTATTGAGGAAGAAATTTGTCAGTTACAAGTTATCTCTAGCCTACATTGATACGTAGTACAGATGTTGGTTGAACATTTGAAGAGGTTCACTGTTGTGTTTCTTTTATTTCAGTTTTTAAAAATAATCATGACTGCTTTCATTGCGTTTTATTGTAATTTTAGACGAGCTTCAGATCAAGCCAGTGTGTTGGATTTCAGAAACAGTCAGTGCTTGGAGTCATTGCCAATGTATTGTAAAAAGTCATGCCTACCATATAATTGATTGGTGAAGCGTGGCAATTGCAACACTGCAGAATGGTAGACTAAAAGAGAATGAGATCCTCTGTATGGTAGACATGGTACTTGATGATGTTGCCTCAAATATTCAAGCATTCATTACATATCTACGTACATTCAAATAAACCTTCCATATCATTATGCCTAATCGAATATCATTATGATACCGGGGAGCTTTTTTATTGCATTAATTAATTGGTTTCGATAGATTCGGATTTACGAGTCAAAGAAGCTTCGACGCATCAGGAGGTCTGGAGGCTGCTGAGGACGCTCACTGAACCCACAGCAATTAAACACAGGGAATGCTTGCTCACTAATTTTTTTTATTTGAAATTTTAAAATCCTTATCGTAAATTTTTCTGCCGTTGCTGGTATAGAATTTGTATCCGGTTCTACCACCTGTCATTGTGTGAATCACCCTGTTCTGCACAGTACCACAATGTGCACGTCTAGCTATCATCAATTTTAACAGAGTGATCAATCTTTTTGGTCGTTGATTGACTTAAGTTTAAATGCTGCATGTGCATCTAAAATCTTTATCTTCATGGCTTTCTAAAGCTTAGCAGCATAAAATTAAGGTTCGAAATAACAATTTTAAAAATGAACATTGTAAAACTGCAATAGATGGAATTGTTTGACATGAAAAGTGAAAAAATTGAATGTTGAAATTTTCTTGAAGGAAATGAAAAGTAGCCACCTGTAAATGATTGTAGTCTAGTATTACGAAATTATCAGATTGCACAAATGTTTCTATTATTTATTTATTTATTTTTATTATTATTGTAATGCTCAATTTTCAATTTGTTGAATACATGTCGGTTAATATTTTTCAATAGTCCCAGTAAAGAAACAGGGGTCAGTTCCTTCCAGAACCATCACTGGATTGTCTTTGTGTCTGGGGCTTCTTCATGTACCCTCCTCTTCCTTCTCCTCCTGGAAGTGACACAACCCAGCTCTGCTCTGCTCACTCTCTCACTCACTCAGGCAGGCAGGATCCCACACAACATACATGGTACCACACCTCCCCTACAAAGTTCTTCCTCTCGCTCACACTCACACTCACTCATTCTCTCTCTCTCTCTCACACACACACACATATATATATATGTATTATACAGTAGTAAAACTAACTGATTTTAACTAACTAAGTTGGATCCCTGCAAGGGGGTCAGCAACCCACCACCCTACTCCCCTCCACTCCTACTCCCCTCCTCAACTGTACTCTACTACCCACCTCCTACCTCCCTACAGACAGACTCATTCATGATCCTATTCTGAACTCTGGTGGTGGAGGGAAGGAAGGGAGGGAGGCCACGTGGGATTGCACGTGGGATTGTGCTGAGGTGGCTACCTGGATTTGATGAGGACACGGGTGGAGAGGGGGAATATATCAGTGGAGGAGAAGGAGAAGGAAAACAAAGGGAAAAGGGCTGAACTCCCCCTAAATCCAAGCCCATGCCCAAGCCCAAAGGGAGGGAAGAAAGGAGAACTTACTTACTTACTTACTTACATGGGGGTGGGGAGGGTGCCTCCTCCTCCTCCTCTGCAATCATGGATTGGCCATAGCCCTGCCCTCGCCCCTGCCCTCATCATGATTATTGCTTGTTCCCTCCCTCCCCCTCCCTCCCTGTTGTTGTTGTTGTATATTAAAGTAAAAGTAAAAGTAAGAATCCTTTCCCTTCCCCTTTCCTATCCCTTTTTGTGGTGGTTTGTTATTTGGATGTGAGAGTGAGTGGTTGGTCTTCTACTGCCCCCCTGTGATGGATGTGTCTCCTTAGCTTTACATCCATCCATCCATCTATCCATCCATCCATCCATCGACTCTTCTAAGTCAGTCATCATCCATCCCCTTTTCGTTCCAATGTGCTTAAGTCTACATGATTGAATACTGGACTTATGATTGGGTGGATAAGCTTTGTTGAAGGATCATTTTGGGCTGCAACAACCCATTATTCTGTTAAGTGTGTATGTGTGTGTGTTTGTGTTTGTTTGCACACTAGCATGGGAGCCTACTTTTTTATATTTGAAAGTGAGTTTGTGACTGCAATAGCTGTGTTGGGTTTCAATTTTAAGATATGGAAAGTGGTCCCCATTCCATTTCAAAGAGATGGGATCTTGTGGATAGAAAGCAAGTGAAGTAAAGCTGAAGCTTATTATTATTCTTATTCTGCCAGGTGAAATACACACACAGAACTCTTGCCCTACGTGTCTGTGCACATGTATACAATCAAACAATTCTTCAAAATGTGAAAAATGTGAATCTAGAATTATTTTTGTGACTTACTTCCACCTTCACCAAAATAAATACCAATAAGTGCAGCTACCCAATCAGTCTATGTAAGTTTGTATGTGTGTGATTTTTATGGCCTCTGGTTATGAACTCTAAAAGAGACAATATGTTTTTGTAGACCCCACACCACTTTATGCAAATTAGTGCATTTAATTTAGGTGCATTTTACTTGTGTTTAGTATTTTATCAAGGCAAGCATTACTAGATGCAGTCATTCACATGCACCACCATTGAAAGAAGAAAAGAGGAAGGATAAATTATTTCTACTTAACTGCCTAATTTGTCATGCTGTAAAACTTTGGCTTAAGAACAGTCCCAAGAACATTTTTTTATTTTTTTATTTTTTTTATGATACTATTTCCTTTATATAATAAGATCAAAGAACTTTCTTTTTTACTTTACTCAAGAGAACAAGCATAATGTTTTGTTTTTAGGTTTCATAGTTTTGAATTTGTGCTTATATTCTCATGACTAAAATGTGTAAAACGTGAAATTATCATAGATTCCACATACAATTTTTTGTATCTTAAAATCCTTCATTAATAAAAGTTGAGTTTGATGAATATTCACACATATTATCAAGTACAAAATCATCTCCAATAGAGCCACTTGTACTTAACTACCTACATATCCACATTCACTCATCAACTTGCATTAAAACAAAGTTCAAAATAAAAATTCCACTAATTAAGTTTTGGGTATGTTTACTTATCCTGTTACACACACAGTGGAGCCTCCATAGGATTTATTTTATTTTATTTTATTTTTACAATTTTAATTTTTATATATAAGTGTAGATAGAGGGGAGGGAGAGATTGGATTCATGTTGTATGTGCATGCATTGAAGGGAGAAGGTGAAGTGTCGTTCCGGCTTGTCATGCATCAATTCCATTCACCCTCCCACCCGACCACTAAAGGGATGCTTTTCCTCTTCCTCTTCCTACACAAACATTCTCTCCACCACCTCCTCCTCCTCCTCCTCCTCATAATATTCGGGGAAAGAGGAAGAGAAAGTTGTGCCCTCCTCTGCACATTCTTAGATAAATTCTTTGTTTAAAGATTTTACTTTTTATTTTTTATTCTGGTGGTTAGTATTATTTATTTATTGATTGATTGATTGATTTATTTTTGGTTCAAATTTTTAAATATCTTGAAGTGGTTGGCTTACAGGCGTGTCTTATATAAAAAGGTTTTTAGATCGTTTATAGCCTTTAATTTTATTTACTTTATGTTTATTTATTAATCATATCTATACTATATTTTATGATAAATTTTGACATGTGAATAATGCAGGTTAAGTGTTTGAAGTTCGATTTTTGTAATATGGTAAAATAATGAAAATATCAATCTAATTGCCTAATTGTAGTATGTTAATTTTCTATTTAAAAAAGATTTACTTAAAAGAGGTAAATTATGTTTGACATAAATAGTTGTAGAAATGTTTTATTTTTATTTATTCTTTTGTAAAAAAATATATAAGTAAGAACAGAAATAAATGAATTAAAAATCTAATTTGGACATTCACACTTAACTTTATAGGCTTTTATGCTATCAAAGGCACAATTTTTTCATATATATATATATATATATATATATATATATATACATATATACACATTGTAAATCTCACATTTACTTTTTAAATTCACTTCTGAATTGTATCTGGAAAGTTATACACAAAATATTTTTTAAATGAGGAAGGAATTTCTACAGAGGATATCAAGTCAAAATTTGAAATTCACATAATCTGTATTGATGATTACTTCAATTTCTTTAAAAAAATAATGGAATCAAAATCATATACACACACAGTAGCAATTACACATGAACAGTAAAATCTAAATGATGGTTTAAGTATATTTTAATTTTCACATCTTTATTACACATGTAGTTTTAATGTTAATTTTTGTAAAAGCTTTTCTTACTTCAAATAACTTTGAAATATATATTGATGAGGATTTCAACAAGTATAATTAGTGTATTTGAAATTTTAAGCATATTTCTAGAAATTTCTAATAAAATAGATATAGTGCTATTTAAAAGACAATACATTCCCATATAGGTCTACACACACTCTTTGTATTTAAATGCTAATAAATAAATAAATAAATAAATAAAAGGAAAAAATAGAAAAAGAATATGGAATTAGAAAAATTTACCAACAGTATCAAATTTTAAATTTCAGATATAGTTTTTAGGATATGAAAACAGAAGTGAGCGTTTGCAAATCTCCTACGTAAAAATATTCACTTTTGTTTTAAAAGAATAATATATTTCAAGTAAAAATACACTCAGCATACAATCGGAAATTTTAGTTTTGTATTAAATGTAGAGAAAATAAATTTCAGCTATTCTGATTCATAAAATAATAATTTAAAAAATAAAAATTACATGTCATGTGATGCCATTAATTAAATTAATTTTCATGAAATTCTTTGATAAGTTTTTTTTTACTCAGGTAAAATTTTATTTATAAAATGGATGAACTTCCTACATGAACAGAATACTTAAGTGTTACTAAATATTTTATTTTATTTATCATTAAATAAAAATAAATAAAATTCAAGGATTTGTAAATTTTAGGTAATCAGATTAAATAAAAATATGATAGATATGTAATGTCTAAATTAAGATTTTTTACACTATCATATGTTTAGTCACAATAGATTTTAAATATTGGAAATTATAATTTGTTAGTTTAGAAAAAGATTGTTAAATTGTAACGAAATGTTTTTAGAAAATTTGGTTTTTAGGGATTTTCAAAAACATGTTTTTGTGATATTGACAAACTTTACTATATATAAGCATATTAATGAGACAAAATCATAAGTAAAAAATAATAATTCAATTTTATATGAGTTTGTCTAAGGAATCAAAAGTTCATACCCCAAATGATTTGGAGCCAAATTTATAATCAAGTATATGAGAAAACCACCAAAATAGTGAATCCACCAACTTGTTTACATGAATGGGATTTTAATATGTAAAAGTGTTTACATTTTTCTCAATATCCTACAAAATAAGCTACATGTTCTAAAAAATTCAAAATTTTCTTTCATAAAAAGATTTTATTTTAAAAGTAAAGGACCAAGCTTAGAAGCTGACAGATCTGAAACAAATTCACAAAATTGTAAAGAAAAAAACAGTGATAAATCAGATGTAGAAATTATAATATGTTATATGTGATCAGTTTTTTGTAATTAATTGACGCCCCAAATAAATAAATAAATAAATAAATCACTATTTTGAATGGTCATTTTGTTTTTATGTTATTTTGCACCTAAGGTTGCGAATTAAGACCATTATACAAAATATATGGTATTTTTCTAAAGATTGCACTTTTTAAAAAAATTTGATAAAAAATTAGTTTTATGTAAAACTTGATTTTTGTACCAGCTACTAATATTTTAATCTTGTTGAACTTTGTATCAAAATATAACTTTAAACTCTGTATATATATATATATATATATATACACTAAAATAGATTCTCTTATTAATGTTTTATTTTATTTTCAACAACATATACAACATAATTGTGATAAATCAATTATTGAATATTTTATTCAGTGAATACATTTTCTTTATTTACTAACTGATATTTAATTTTTATTAAAATGATGGTATGTAAATGGAAAAGCTTTAGTAAAAATATTTTAAATCTAAATTTTTGCATTTTAAAAAATTAAAATTTTTTATAGATTTCAAATTTCAAATTTAGATTTAAATTTGAAGGACCATGATAAAGCAATAATTTGATAATGTTACAAAATATTGAAATTCTATTACTACTATTAGTGATTCATTGAGATAATTTTGATTGGTATTTAATTTACTATAATGCATACTTGGTGCCCATAGTAAATTATCCTTGATGTATGCATGTTTAACATGAGGAGTAGAACAGAAAATGGAATAGCCATTTTAACCACATAGAATAATATTTTTTACATCTTATAATCATATTGTCCTATTCTAATTTATGTGGTTCAAGTTAATGTCTTTCACTTTGTTATTGGAATGTTCGAGACTTTAAAACTATTTATTCTTAATTTATGTTGTGTAATTCAATGATTCAATTTCAGCACAAAAATGTAAAAGTACATACTCTTAAATCACATTTAAAATCAGCTTCGCAATTTTTTTTCATATTTATTCAAATAATTGCATTTTATTTAGACAAATAGAGTTGTTGTTTTACTCCCTAAATATAATTCCTGCATATTTCAATTATGCAGAAGAAAGGGCAGCACAAGCAACATAATATATATAAATATATATATATATAAATATATATATATATACATATATTTACATATACACACATACAAATAAGAAAACAACATTCAAATTTATCATGTTGGGGATATTTGAAGTACAAGGGTGACAGTCATGAGGAGCCTGCAACATCACAAAGAAGCTACACTAGAGGTCGGGGGGGGGGGGTTGTTATATCATGTCCTCCCCCCCTTAACCAACTTAGCCAACCAAATTGCCTGAATGATATGATAATGGAATATAACAAACTCTAATGTAACAATGCTCTTCATAGAAGACGAGGAGCCCCTTACAATGCAACAACAACAACAACAGGGAACCAAAGCCAAAGCCAAAAAACCCAAACAACCAGGGATCGAAGGGTAGAGATAGAAAGAGAGAGAGGAGAAGGGAGGGAGAGGGGGTCTAGGGCTGGGGTACATGGGAGAAATCTAGGGCTGGGTTACATGATTTGGGGGGGGGGGGTGGGGGGACGCGGGACACGGTTGATGGAGGGGGTGCAGACAGACAGAGTGGTAACTGAAATTCAAAATAGTACATGGGCATTGGTCGCCGAGGAGAGAAGAGGAGAGGAGAGGGAGCTCTCGTTATGATGCCTGCAAGGGAACGGGGGAAACACACTGGAGTGGGAAAGGGGGGAACCGGGCTGGGGAAACGAGGGGGTTAGTGTACTACAGCCCAGCCATACCGCTCACTCGCCCAAGTACTGATCCCCTCCTGCACGCTCTCACTCTCACTCTCACGGCCACGGTCACGGTCATGGGGCCCCTCCTCCTTCCCTTCCCCTTCTTCCTGCCACGCGCAGGCACTTCTCCGGCCCGCCCCCGTCCGCCGAGACAGACGTGCCCTTCTAACAAGCAAGCTGGAACTCTCCCGAAACCAAATGATCAACAGGCACAACAAACATCAACCCTCCGCCGCCATCCCCCCACCGTTCCCATCCCCGTCCCTCCCTCGCCCCCTTATTATTATTATTTTGCAGGCGACGCGGTACTCATTCATTCGACTCGCATTTGGAAATCCGATCGTCGACCGTGCTTGGTGCAGGCAAGCATCCAGCGTTCGGTGAGCGCACTTTCCTGCATCGCAGCTCCTGCAGGTTGCGGATACCCCCCTCCTCGATATCGTCGTAGTTCCACTGATCAGGAGGTAGTGCCGCTTCCCTCCGATGAATTGATGGCATTCTCGATCGACCAGGCAGGCTTGTGGTTGTGATCTCCCGTTGTTGTCAATTTATTGTCGCGCGATCGACAGGTCGAGTTGAGTTTGTTTTTTTTTATTATTAATTATTTATTTTTGGTTTTTGGCTTTGTCGTCATATGGCTTGTCAGGGGTTTGCTGTTGCAGGATGGAGGTTTAGGGGGAGGTTCGCGCTGTAGGGGAAGTCGACTCGCTGTGTCCCCACTGCCTCAAAGGGAAGGTTCTTGGTTACAATCGAGAGATGGTCAGGGGAGTAATTCGGCTGTAATGCATGCCAGGGTGTTGCGACGAGAGGTGGTTGCGGCGTTAGTGCTCATTTGAAGGAGTTGTGATGGATGTGTTTAGAGACGGTGTGTGTCTGGTCTTTGGAGGTAATTAGACCTTCTTAGGTGACTATAACCAGTGGGGCTCCGTCATAACGCCGTCTGGAGTCCTAGCGTGATGTTCTCATAATCCCACTCTGTATAATTTCACAACCTTCCTAGTCGTGCGACGCCAGATCGGACTGTCTGTAACCAACTTCTCGATGGCTACGAGAGGTGGATACATGGTTAGTCGTGCTCCCGTGTCTGATTGGTGTGTCTAATCATCACTTTCGCCGTTGCGCCTCTGCTCATGTGGATGTCTTCTACGTAAGAGGGTTTATCAGGTCAGGGTCTTCCTCATCACGACGATTTGAACTGCACTGTCGACTTAAGTGATCCTCTGTAAATTCGCCGAAGGTTTACTGCTTAACCAAAGTTAACATAGTCTCATGCTTCAGACTATCAGAATAATTTAGCGTGGACACTTCATTAATATTTGTGCAGAGTCGGCTACCTCCTGATAAGCCCTTCCATCAATTGTGACGTAGAGATATTATCAGAGTGGAAAGCATTGTGTAAACGATCCGCAGTCTTCCCAGCCTGATGTATCCTATTGCATCTGGTTCGCAATTACGATTGAGATTCCGATCGAAGGTTAATCGTATCTGCGTTGGCGCTGATGTCGTCTCAGAAGCACATTCCTCGGATTATCTTCCGACAATAGCATGTGGTACTGCGAACGGTAGTGCTCAGACTAGATAAGCATATCCAGCAGGTTTTGAGGCACTATTTACATTCGATGGTTTCCTGACTACTGTCTGCCTTTGCGATATAAATAGAAGCTCCCGGTACGTGTTGGCGAAGATGTGACTGCATACTTCCCTGAGGGATCTGATTCGTCTCGTTGTCCGCACACAACCGTGCTGAGTCCTGATCAGTGTTGTCGGATTTACATTGTTAGCACATCCAAGTTGATGTCGTCCCAGCCACCTGTAACGGTGTGAATGCACGGGATTACAGGTGATCGCTGAAGAATCATAACAGCAAAATCACCTGCGAATATTACACACCGGATTAGAGTGCTCTCGGATGCTTGGTGCATTAACGCATCTTCCCTGCTCTCCCTAAATGTCCTAAAGCCGTTGAAAGTGCGTCTGAGCAACCCACGCTCAGAAAGTTCAGAAACTTCGTTTCTACGAAACAGTAATTGCTTCTAACGAGATTGAATTTAGGTGAGTTGCGACCATGAAGTTGACATGTCTGTTTGCTCATCTATTGCAGGGATGTTTGCCACGCGAGATCGAGCAATCAGAAAGCGCAAGCGAGGAGAAAGACTTTTCTCCTTTCACAATTTTGCAGACCCTGGGTTTCCTGCCGATTATGATGGGCCATTTCGTGACAACGTGCGGACGTTCCTAGAGGAATGTGCGGAATCGGAAGTCACAGTCGATGGCTTACCCGGATGGTGTGTGGCTCTTGAAGACGATTCCAAACAGAGTGCTCGCGTCGATTTGCTGGTCTTCGTCGAGGGCGTTCAGGATACTATTCACCCGTATTGTGACCAGTGTCGCTGCATTGGTAAGTTTGCTTGCCTAAGAGAATAATGCCATCATGTTTTTGCATCGTAGGGAACTTACACGACTTTTTAATAACTGCACTGTGTATTTTGTTCGAATTACATCCCAGTAATTTAGTTTGATTCTGTTGGGGTATGTCTTCACTTCAATGCCTGAGGCGTAACCGAACGATTCTGGGAACAGGATGGAGTCATCATCCAGTGTCCAACAAGCGCTACCATTTCATTATTCCTGCTCCAGATCATCCCGAACGCTCTAAGAGAGCGAACGGAATACTAGGTGCCAAGATATGCACGAACTGTAAGGAGCCGTTACTATCAGGCTACCTCGGCTGTCCTTCCTGCGGTGACGAAGCCTTGGCAGCTGGCTTCTTATACTCTCAAAGTCATCTGCTCCATGGAGTTATTCATTGTAACGGCTTTGGTCACCTCCTTCGCATCAATGGGAGGGAGAAGGGATCTGATTCCTCCTCAGGAAGGGAGATCATGGACCTTTGGGATAGAATGTGTGCAATGCTGAGAGCCAGGTAACTATCCTTTCAAAAAAATATGAGTACTAGGATCATTGCTTTCAACGAATTTCTTTGAGTCGTTTTATTATTATGAAAAGGTGTCGACTCTCTCCCGTTCCAGTTCCAGTATCAGGCATGAGTCTTCCGTGCATAAGTTTTCCTCAAATGATTGTTCGCTCTGAAATGAGAGGCGTGGTTGTGTTGCACAGGAAAGTCAGTGTCGAGGATGTGGCGAAGAAATGTTCCCTGGAGCTTCGTCTACTTCATGCCGTTAGTTACGGCGAATCCTGGTATGGAAGGTGGGGATACAAATTCGGACATGGAAGTTTTGGCATCACCCAGCAAATGTACGTGAAGGCTGTCGAAGCTATACGCGAGATGCCTTTAAGAGTAATGGGACAGCACTTCGAGGGCGTCGACCAGGACGTATTGGGCATCATCGCTCTGTATCAGCGTATCAGCGGTCAAATACTGCAGACCGTGGGAGACTTGATACGTTTCATGATGGAGCTCAAAGTGAGATTACCAGAGCATCCAGAAACTAAAGGCATATCTAAGGCACTGAAAGACAACGACAGAAGAAGCGGAAGCATGAGCCCAGCAGTTAGCAGTTCTCCACCGACGGATATGCCTTCCAGATGGTCACTGAAACGTTTAGACTTAGCAACACAAGTTATTGTGGAGGCTCTCAAAAGCTGTGATCGAAAGTGGATGCCAAGGCAGGATGTCCGAGACGCAGCACGAGTGTACATTGGCGACACAGGCCTTCTGGACTATGTCCTGAAATCCTTGGGTGATCGCGTGGTAGGCAACCACATTGTACGCAGGGCTGTGAACCCCATCACCAAAGTTTTGGAATATAGTCTCGAGGATGCGATTACAGCTGCAGGAGTTGTGAGGGATCAGTCCAGATGTCAAGCTCCAGAGACGGCCTGTGAAGTTGGAAGGACCCAAGTTCTTAAAGACATTGTCTACATCTACAAGAATGTCCTAGAAAATTATAAACCTGCCAGGACCAGCGGAATCAAGCACATGCTGACGGCTATTCCCACTGCAGCCAGAATTATTTTGGACACGAAGCAGTTCATTAAGGATTATCGAGGGGAACTCACCCGCAAGTCAGCTAACAATGACTGGAACATGGACGACGATGAGTTGTTAAGAGTGATGTGTACTGTCGTTCTCAATGACGATGATCCCATGCGCAACAGGCCTAGCCCTCCCCCTGAGCTGGTCGTTCTTCCTCCGCATGCGACTGTTCGGGACCTCAAACTCGAGGCACAGAGGGCGTTCCGAGAGACGTATTATATTATGCACAGTTTCTGCGTGGAGTCGATTCCTGATCTGGTAGGCGACGATGAAGATCTTTTATTTGGAGCTATTGAGTCTGGTTCTCACGTTCGTATAGACGGCATTGGGATCCATACTCGTCATGACTGGCGTTACGAGGGTGGTATCGAAAGCTGGACAGTTGACTGCCCTTGTGGTACAAAAGATGACGACGGCGAGCGCATGATTGCTTGTGATGTTTGTGAAGTTTGGCAGCATACTCGTTGCGGCGGAATCTCTGACATGGATGTAATTCCTCAACGCTTCCTGTGCCATCGATGCAGCGTTAACCTCAATTTCTATCACACCATGCTCTAGAGCGAGTTCCAAATTCGTAACGAGCTTCGACAGTTATCTGTCCTTCATCATTAGAACCACTTTGATTGTCCTTTGAAAGAGGCAAATGTCAAAAGGGACTTAGTTGAAGCGGTTGGACTTCACAGTAGTAAGTCCTACTCGGGAGTTAGTCCCTTTGTCCTACAAGTTACAACATGTCGTTAATGCTGTACATATATTTGTACTACTATATATTATGCCAGTGGCCAGAAAATTCTGTGAGATTAATTCACTTGCGCACTATTGAGCTTTATCTCAGTCGCATCGCTCTCAATCTCATGCTCTTCAGTATGTTGAATCTGCCCTGTGTCTTGATATACGATGCGCATCTTTAGTCTTTAGTCCTAGGAGTTGCTCGTTGCTATCAACATGAAATTAGCTCAATCCAAGCAAATTGATGATCGAGTCCGTTTTGTTTGATACTCCCTCTCTTAAGCGACATAAAAAAGAATGACAACGGTCGCTGGGCTATTCCATCTATACTCGCTTGATATGCTTGTTAACAGGATTGGACCCTTCTATTACAGGACCTTGCCGGACGTCCAGCCCTGGATATGAGTAGCAACACCTCATCGCAGAAAACATAAGCCCTCGTGTCCAGAAGTTATTTAGCCTCTTTCTTGGGAGGCTGAGGAGGAGCAGGGAAATAAACATCAACAGCAGATCTAGGTTGAAAAATTTCTTTTCCTGGTAGTGGTAGTTTGATGCGTCAGAGATTCCGCACTCAAGTTCTCTGAAACTAGCTGGACGAGCTATAGCCAACACCTTGTCCACTTTTTGAGTACGAAGGAACCCTCATACAACGGGCACCCACCTCGCAGTGGGTGCCAATCTATGATGAGATGTTATGTCCACTGCCCATCGCCCTCAGTTACTTCCAGTTCCATTATCGCATTGAGCATGAAGTACTGCTAGACACAGTTTTAGGATGAAATTTCAGTGGAGGAAGGCTAGGCATCAAGCTACGTTTCTGAGCCTAAATCTTCCACAGGATTTGTCCTCTCTGAATGCATTAAAGTGGGTCCAGGGTCAACTATAGGAGTTGTATACATGAACGTCCCTACAGCATGTACTGGACAGCAAAGTGTAAACAGATTCCGTGGTAATCAATTTTGGTTGTCAGCATCAATTTGTTAGTGTGGTCGCACCATGTATATACCAGTGTAGGGCTCCTTGATGGCGTATCGTAGTCAATAGTTGTCCTTTCTACGGCCCTGCAAATGTCCTCTCTATGGCCATGCATGCAGTCCTTCCATCAGCACCCCAACTTATGTTCATCACGTTGCTTACCATTTTCAATTGATTACAGGTATCATAATACGGTGTACAAATGTACACCTGGGTCAGATATCGACAACTTTGGCGCCTCTAATTACCCTTTACTCGTCTCCTTCCAAGCAGTAGTGTTACAGTATAAGTTCACCCGTACTCCGTTCTGGCATTCAAAACATGATAGTAGGTGGAACAGCACAATTTCCTGCGCCAGCTTGTATCCGCACTAGCACAACTGGTCAAGTTTATGTATTGAAGTAGTACATGGTCCACTGTGGCAATGTTGTACTGCCCTTCAGACGCTGCTGGACCGTCAGTAATTTACATTCCAACTTGACTGAGGTGAAGTAAATGAAATACCCAAATATGCTGACAAATACACTTTGTCACTTCGAATGGTCGTTATGGATTAATGCTCGTTGCTGATTGTCGCCAGAAATCCAAACAACAGATATTTGAAGATACAAAGTTGCTCCAAGAGTCCAAATAAAAACCACTGCACCATATTGTTCCGACGACCTAAGTCAAGAAACTTACAGTACTTCAATTCCTGCACTCAAGACTCTAGGTGAATTCACGGAAAATGGATAAGTAGGACAGAAATTTGCAGGACTGCTGTTGTAAGTTCCAAATTTATATCATCCACACGGGTACATAAAACAGCCTGCAGTATTCGACATGATTATCTGTGCTTAGGATTGATGAAAAGTGGCGCATACATTTTGATGCCATCAAAAAATGATATCAAGGACTAGGCTACATTGTACATCTGATATTAACAGAACACACCTAGGTGTGTGAAAAGTAATCCCGGATAGTGCGAGGCCGTTTCCTCCCATCGAAAACAGGGCTCAAAACTTGGCGTATATCCCTCTTAGCTCTAGGAGAGCTCCCATGTGGCAAATTTGGGTGCAGCTCGGAAAGACTATCAAGGACAGAAGTTGGAGTGCTGGCTAGGGACTTCGGCTGCTTAGGTTGGGGAGTCTCTGGGATGACACTAACGTCATCGTTCGAGGTAGATGAAGGTGAAGTGGAGACACAATGAAGGCGATGACAGAAAAGCGATGGCAACTGGTGGCGCGTGAACTCATGCTCTTTCAGACTCCAAACCCGTACCATGCAGTCATCAGAGCTCGTGACGATTTTGCAACTTGAAGAGCACCTGGAGAAAATAAATTATGATCAGAATTTTGATATAAGATAACCAAAGAGTGGCTACAGTAAATTACAGCCGTTGTGCTTCAAGTAAAAAGAATGTCCATCGCATATGGTAAATGAGACTTGAGAAGGGTACCAGTCGACAGCAGTTACTTCTCCCCTATGACCTTCTAATACCGCCGGATTCGAAGGATTATCCACCTGCCAAGTAACAATGTAGTAAGGAAGGTTATTATTATTAAGACATCAACATGATGATCTTACTATGACGTGAAATGTACTCGGTGCGCGCTATATATTCTACTCAAAGTTGATTATGAAACGAATGCTCCAAGTTTGTAAGGGTTCGAACGGACTCACCTGCCATATGTACACGTTGCCGTCTGTAGAGCCACTAAGGATATGGGCACTATCAGGACTAAATGCAGCCTGCGAACAATACATACACATTAAGAATGTCAGGTTAGAATAAAGAAATCGATCCATACGACCTCCCGAAAACCCATTCCCTATGGTGTGATGGCTAGTTAAGTAGGTAGATAATAGAGATATTAGTCACACGCTCAGCAATCAACGCCATTTGCGCTTCTATATCCTGCCATTGAGACAGACTATGTAAAATAAGGTCAAATCCTTACCTTGATATAGAAGGATCCTACAATATGGCCTGAGAAGCTCGATATTACGCCCCGCTCGGGAAATGCACCATCATACATGTAGATCCTGAACCCCAAGAACAGAGCATGATTGCAATCAGCACTAGGTCTAGTGGTAAGTGAACAACGTGGTACGTCGTAATAGGTTCAAAGACGCTGAAAACTCTTCATAGAGTATTTGCGACGACTTGAGAAGGCATGGGGACAATATTTACGTATACCAGCGACTTACTTGCTGTCAGTGCATGAGGCAATGAGGCGTGAACTTGTTGGGTCTTGAGAGAGACTTGTGATGCCGTGTACACGGCCCACCTGTGACGAACCACGCACGTACAGAGTAAGGTGATGCAGCAGTAATCAAGCGTCGTGAAAACAATTTCCTTAGGTTCTTCTGCCTTCGAGATGTAACTATTACTTCAATTGCAAGCAATGTACCATACACAAAGAAATGAAACATCTGGTGTTGATAAAAAGAAGAAATGGGCACACTGATTGCACATAGGAGTGTAAAACGGCAATCTCACGCCAGGAATGAGTCAACATGTAAGAACTGATACATCGTAGCAAAATATTGGAATGCATCTATCTGAGACTTCTTACCCCTTCAGACGTCCGTGTGTGCTGTGAAGGCGTTTGCACCACAGGAACCTTCAGTTTTCTCGTATCCCAAAATTTAACAACACTGCATCCCAGGGGCACATAAATTCAAAGTCAACCTCACATCGCAGTTGCCAACACTTATTTCATTATACGTCCTCAACGCCAACCAATTAACATGAAACGCAGTTACATTCGAAGGATACTGACCCGTCAGCTGCACCAGATGTAGCGAGGATGCGCTCGTCTTGTTGATACAGGACACCGGTAACGCTGTAAGTCGCGCCCTGCAATATCATCATGCTAATCAACCGTTAGTCGTACTGAATAAACAAGATCAGATTGCTCCGGGTTGTATGATGGATCCAATCATTGTGTGCATAATTGAGAACTAACAGTATAGGTTGGATCGGGAACCGCCATGGGATTACCTTTCTCCTACGAACGTTCTTCGACCTTGGGGCAAGGTGGGTGTCTGTGACACATGAAACGGGCCTGTTCACATTTACACAACAGTGTAAGTACATCATGTTTCCTATGCACACCCGTACTGCGTATGCCCCATGTACCTCGATATGATACAGAAGTTGAGACTGTCTAAATCCACAAATCCAGCTTTCTGAACAGTGAAAACTCTGATATACTACACCCGCTGCGTTCAGGCAGCTGAAACATAGAATGTAGGCAGTGGTGACTTAAAATATAGAGGGACAGCAAGATTGACGAACATAAAGTTCACCCCGCTTGTCTCACCTGTAATGGGTTACTTCGGTTCCAGAAATAGTTGTTGAAGTCCGCAGGTCCCATAGAGCTATACTCCCATCCCTTGACCCTGATGCAAAAATTTCTGCAAAAATAGAATTTACCGACAGATCTCAGTGTATGAACTAGTAAATAATGATAATCAATAATGAATTACTGTAAAGATGATTCTAGGCATCTCAACTCCGAGCTGGACCACAATTTACTCGAGACACAACTGATATTGAACGAGTGCCCAATCCCACAAAAACCATCCAGCTAAGTCATATGACATTGAAGAATCAATTAGTTGAGACTGAAGTTAGTTGTCTAAAGAGTTACATTCAGCACCCGGCAAGGGCACAATACTTGGTGATTGACTCCACAGGATGTTGGCTGCGTGCACACTAGAATCAAGGACAGTGTACGGATGATTGGAAAGTACCTGCATTAGATGGATGGGCACATAGAGACTTCACGCTTCCGGAGTGACCCCTCATCACTCCTAAAGCCTTGTGAGATTCGACATCCCAGAGACGAACCTGCGGTGCCAGTAGATCCGTTAACCATAAAGACATAACATCAACGACCAATCCGCGGTACATGGAAAAACTTCGTCAGTCATATCAGATGTACATTTAACGAGTTTATAGTCTGGGTAACCTTTGCACTATCGTGTTACTTCTAGATAAGCGATAAGCTTCAGAGGATTAAGTTAGAAGCAAATGACTATTACCGTCTGGTCTCCTGACGCTGTCAGAATGCGCGTGTCATCCTGCAGGAAAGCGTTCCAACGATTACAAATTACGAAGGGTGAGAGCGAGAGATACACCCGCAGATCGCTGACTGAAATTTTGATACAAAAAATACAAGTAGTTGTTTCCCTATCCTGGATAAGTCCAGGGAAAGGCATTTTACCATCTAAGCAGCTGACACTGGAGGTAAAGCGTAGACACACGAGCGGGGTTACAGAAAGGGAGAAAGCAGACGCCGACTGAAATATTGATACAAATAATGTACTGGAATGAACTCTAGATTACACTGCATACCTGTATCCAGGAGACATCAAATATGGCATTGGTGTGTGCCATCCATGACTTCAACCTAATCTTATCTGAAACCACGCACACAATAAACCAGTTCAGTGACACATAGTCAGCTCACGTTCTCACCGATATCACGTGTTGGCTTGGGCGAGCTAGGAAGGCGGGGAATTCACATCACTGGACATCTACGTCATTTCTCTTGCGAATTAAGTTTTCGTGGGAAAGAAAAAGCATGAAATCTGGTGTAAATCCAAAGATTGAGTACCTGTTTCGTAGTTAGTGGCCATGAAGGTAGGAAGTTGAAGACGAGTGTTAAAGATACTGACAAAGCCCTCCTCATCCGCCACCGCGAGCATATGTCCATCTCCTCTTTTCTGCAGGTAGTGCATCGTGCACACTGGTTACTATCTCAATTGTGACTCCTACGTACTCAGAACTGATCTTATGTTTGACATGTATTGCCGGAATTCCTCTGAAGAGGAGAATGCAGTAGTCACTTCTCACCTAAATTTTTTTTCAATTTGCAACAAAAGTAATCCAATTTGTCGTAGATGGATTTCCGCACTTTAATTGAAGATTATTATGATATTCAGATAGCCAGAAGATACTTGTTCATTTACTTAACACTCCCCAATGAATCTTCTCGTTCGAATGCACGAAAGAAGTAATCCACACATGATGTTGAAGTACCTTGCTGTAGGATACTGCGAGAGGCGGAGCTGGAACCCCATCATGCTCCACAGAAAGTACACCTGATCCCGAAGAGCCCCCCTCCGAACATAGCCTTCCCATGTGCGGCCTCCCTCTCACTGCAGATGAAAAAAACATTGGTATCCATATCCAAGAAACTAAGAAGTATCGCCCGAATATGAAAGATGCGTTAAATTATAGAATTCCGACCTCACATTATCTAAAAATTCCATTCGTCGGAGAGCAACCAGGAAATTCACAAACTGCACCTACTATTGCTTCACTTCATAATTTCATTCACAACCATCGACCGATTCCGCATTCCCATGGGCAGCATGTATACAAAACCTATCAAATCAGATGGTATTAATGGAGGACTCAGATTCCACCGCTGCAACGAAAGGAGCTGAAACACGAAAACACACGCGACAGACTCTCCACCGTACCGAAAGCAGATAAGTGCAAATACCTTTGCAAGGCCGTAACTCCCGCGTTGACAAAGCGTGAAAGAGTGAGTCATGCTGACAACGGGTCGCCATGAGCTCCACCAAAACCAAAAACCACTCCCAGAAGCAGAAAACACGGCCGACGCAACCTCCACTAGAACGTCATCATGTGGTGAATTCAAAAGAATCCACAACGATATTAGAACGCGTGTCTATTCCCCAGGCCTGCGAGTCTCTGTCGACACAAGCCTTACACGTCTGAAAACCTCTATAAAAAAATTAAAAAAAAAAAAAAAAAAAAAAAAAAAAAAAAAAACTGTCCTCCAAATCTCACCCCTCATCCGCCTTCTTCAACAGGCTCACAGTCCTGAGTCATCTCCAATAGAGTGCACTCATTTTGATCACTCCGCATTCACCTGCACCTCGAACATGGCAAGCCTCTCAGCCTACGAGAAACACGGCCCTCAAAACGAGCCTCCAAATCCAACCTTAAAGCAAAGCAGGAATACTTAATAGAACACAAAACAATCCAATCCCGCATTCACCGAACATTACAAGTACACCACGTAGGTAGCGGCTCCGGAGCTCTCACTTACCCTGCTCTAAACTAACGCTCCCACGATACAAAATCGACTTGGAAAACAAACTCCAGCAACACTAGAGCTGCAGAACTCTTATTGCGCATCACCAGACAATAAACAATGAGGAGGATTCAATCGAGAAGCTCTAGAAGCGACCCGGCGACGAAGAGGATGGCGATGGCGAGAGGAGAGCTCTAAGATGACCAGAGCCAAACAGAGTCTTCGGGCTTCGCTGGTGTGAATGAGGACAATAGTTTGAAGAGCCAAGTTGGCGGGAAGCTGGTTTTGGCGCCACAGAGAGGGAGTGGGCCCTTGGACGGCGCGGCGGGAGTAATCGATACCCGCCCTCCTCAACGGACAAGTTCAGGCACCTATTTCCGATCGTTGATTAACCAGGACGATAATAACCCATTTATTTATTTACTTGAGAAATGTGTGTATTAGAGAAACAGGATACATTGGTTTTACTCTATGAACAGTTTATTTGTGCAACGGTTCTGAGAGCGTCGATGTACTTGTGGACTGTTAACGATATGTTGATGCCCTGCTTGTACACTGGGCACCCAATATGTCTTTCATTCCCTTCATTCATTTCTAAATATATATATATATATATATATATATATATTTCATTAGGCTTTTAAATCCAATTAAATACAGTGTGTGAAAATATAAGTGATGATCGAATGATGAGATTTTAAAAGTAATATTTTGGTATATATCAACTAAGATAGGAATTTATATATTATAAAGAATGTTATAATTTATTTAAAGCTGTAGCAAATTGTATATTTTTTTTTATTGAAATTTTATAGTTCTGGTATTAAAATTATTTTTTACTCTTTATTGTGATGTAATTTTATTTATTTATTGATGCAGAGTTTTAATATGTGAATTATTGTGAATTACTATATGTATGAGGTGTGCAGTTTTTCAATAAATGTTCCAACAAACTCTACTCCATTTCTCCACTACCTTTGAATAATAAGTTTATTAACAATTCTCTTTTGTTTGAACCTTTTGTCTACTTTAGAATAAGTAGACATTATTTTTAAACAGAGGTATGGTTGTGTAGTTTTTTTTTTTTTTTTTTTTTTTTTTTTTAGGTTATCTTATTTAAATTAAGTTTTTTTTTTTTTTTTTGTAACCAACGATAGGACTATCTCCTCATGTCTTTTCCTCTAAATTCTTTTCATGTTAATCTCCTTCGGAATCATTGTGATTTTTTAATATAATATATGTTTTATACTAAAAAAAACTAAGATTATTGAATTGATAAATTAATATAACATCTTCTTATTTTCATAGTTATACATGAAAAAAATGTGGTTGAATAACTTATATATGTCAAAATTATGTTATAAATTGTTTAGATGCATATTTATTTATATATATATATATATATATATATATATATATATTGGTATAATATTGTTAGGTATCTTTATTTCTACCGCAAATGTGTTTTGCCTTTTATATTTTGTCTTTGAAGTCTTTTGTATGAAATATGTATTTTAAGATTATTTGGATAAATGTATTCAAGTTTTGTGTAAATATATATATATATATATATATATATATATATATATTTTATATACATGAATACATATCTGTGTGTGTGCCTTATATTTTATGTAGAAAAATAATAATAAAATTCATACATTTTTATCTTTTATTTTTGGTAATCATCCTCACAAGTTGCTTTGACTTTAGATTTTGGTTTAGGTTTTTCGAGAAGATTTAAAAAAATAAAAAAATCGTATGACCATAATATATAAAGAAGAAAACGTATAAGATTAGAAAGTTTGAGAGAAGACCACAATTTATATGTAAAAATGACAAGAAATTAGTTTTAAGATGAGAAAATTGAATCAACAGTTACAATCAATTCATCCGCGGAAAGCACTCGTGCTCTCCGTTGCCAGGAGCAATTCTGTGTGTTGTGAAAGAGCCATTATCTAGAATCCTTGCCGTTCAAATTGCGATGTGTCTCTGTGTGTTGGTATGTGGGTCTCTATAAAATCTTGCTTCTTTGGACAGTGCAATGGGAAGCTTTCATGAAATTTAGAAATCGTTGCTTCTGCAAATTTGCACTGGGAATTTGCTGTTAAGTCGCTCAATCTGAAGTGCAGCTCAGATGTGGGTCTGAGGAGTCCTTGCCTTCCAGGATTTCATGCTCGACTTTTGAAAGGGATAGAGCTTGAAAGTAGATGACTCTGACAATCATTTAGCTTGCTAAGTAGGTTTCCTCTAGAATATAGATATACAGAACTTGGTGTTCGTTGGCTTTTCTAATTAAAAGTGTCAAAAAAATAAAATTGCTAATTTATTGATAATTTGTTAAAAAGATGACCAAGAAAACTTTTAAATACATTAAAAATAATCTAGTTCCTAAACTTTCAACTAAAATATAATTAGAAATAGAGCCGATGTTGTTACCATCTGCGTTGAGTTCTTTACAGTGAAATTTTAATAAACACAGCAATATTTCTTGTACATGTACAAGACCAAAGCTTGTATGGACAATATTGTTGATCAGAAGCTTGTGAGCTTGTGACTGGGGTGCATCAACTCCAGCACCTTGCCTAAAAACCGCGAATAGCTCACACCTTTTCAAGCATTTTGTTCACAACTTAGCATGTGAAGAGACATTTTTCAGATAATATTGACCACTTCAATCCTCATGTTTCAGTGATGCCTAGCTGCAATTGCACAAAGGAAAAAGGGCTGGAGTGTTCTGTGTGACATATCACCGTGCTGGTACCACTTAATCTGATCTCACAAGACTGTTTATCAATCATGCTTTCAACATGGTAACCAAGCACGAGCTCTTCCCTGGCAAACCTAGTAGGGTGTAGTTCAGTTTGGAATACCAGATTGATCAGCTACCCAATTGGGTTCTCCTTCGAGGACGAAGGTGGTTAAGGTTTGTGGCTTCCTCCTGTATAGAGCAGATGTTTCATTTCACTAGGTGAAGTCTTAATCGTTGATATTCTCTTCTCAGGTTTGACTCCAACTTGCTCATCTAGTTCCAGGTACTGCAAGCGACAGATGTGTTCATGAACAGATCAAAGGTACTGAGAGTACCTTGCTCTCGTTAGTGTGTCTATTTTGAGGTGATCAAGTCAGCGGTAATGACTTTTAAATTTTTTATCATTAAAGGAAAAACTTTTTCGTACATTGCTCTGGTCGCCTAATCAACGCTCATCATTTTATTGTGATTAAATTTGCGAAGCTGTACCATAGTCGTGTGGATTTCATTATTAACCTCTTGGCTTGGTGGAGGGTAACTGTTGTGTTCTCGGCGGCCCTGTGAGTTCTGCTCAGCAGAGAGGGAAGCTAGATTACAAGGCTGCGTGATTGTAACAAAGCTGCCTGAGAAGAAGGTAACGATATCTATCTGCGGTTTCCAGGTTATGCCCAGACCCAAATAAGTGGGTGCGCTAGGACAGCACAGAAATCACTTCTCAACACTCCTTGTGGCTTGAAAGTAAAAATTTATTGTTAGGCGGTGCTAACATTTTGCAACTATCAACTAGGAAAATCCAAGGCATTTCTTACCGGCATGCTCACTGAACATCACGAGTGGTTCCTGTTGTGGCATGATGATTCTACTGGATATTTCACTCACACCCATGATTTGACATACTAGTTGTTCGAAACATTGCCCATGGTATGACTCATTGAGAAGCATCGCCTCCGTCACCCGAGTCCCTCTTACACATGGCGTATCTAAACGAGTGGCTGTTGTTCTGAGATACTGTCCAAAGTACATTGTATTCCCTCTACATCAATGGGACGTACTTCATCAAGTATGTCTCACAACGTGAGAAGGATAATACCATTGTTATGGATGCACATTCATTAGTGTCGGGCACTGGTAGTTACCTTGGTCGAACAGAGCAGAGATCCTCTGGGTTCTGCAATAGGGGCCTTACTGTATCTCATTTGGAGTGATGGTGGAAGTGTGCTTACGCAGTACAATTGGTCATTCTTAAACCTGAACATTATCCTCCCATCTAATAATCTTCTCAAAGCACCTCAGTTGTTTCCAGATCTGAAATGCCCAGAGAAGTCATTACAGCAACGGAAAAGCATGTTATTTGGAAGCAACCTGTGAGTCCCATTTGCTGTTCTGCATGCAATTTGATCCCATCATAATTCTCTTTTTTTTACTCCCAATCCATTATCTGAGCTGTTTAATCATAATCCCAGTCTCGTAGATCAGCTACATCGCTCCTTTACAAATACTACATCGAAACGAGCCTGAGAGACTGATCAACTGCACTGGCAAGCTATCAAGCTACACAAATGCCCTGAAATTTCACTAGTATACATGCTTCAAAGGATAAAATCTCACAACGAACAAAAAGTTCACAAACATGCCAATGAGCATCCACAACAAGTTAAGACACATGAACCAAACTTTAAGCCGGTCTATTCCTATATATTGCAAGTACAACGACATTTAATGAATGATTACTGCAACTCTTGATGAACCTTGTGGATGCAAGTGTGCTAGGGGTGCATCTTCGAGCTCTAGAACGCGCATTTTAGCTTTTCTCACAGAAGACATCGGTTGCTACCAAAGTACCCAAGGAGAGGCGTATCATTGGCAACTGTACTTACTCAATTGTTCAACTACCCACAGAGTCTGATCTATTCTCTAAGGAGTCTATCCTTTCAGCCGGGGGTGGTGCAATCACTACTCCTGCATACGAGCGATCGGCCAGCATACCTGCAGGCGGAAAATAATCCATGTTAATAATTGGAGGCTTAGGATCACAAAAAGACCGAGGTATTCGACAAAAAGACTCGGGCGTATGACTCTCCACAATATATACCTGAGGGACGGGAAATCTCAGGTGTGCGCCAGGGATCTGACCGGTAACCTGTCATCATGAGATACTGTGAGTGAAAAAACAACCAACTCTTCCATACTGGAAACTAGAAGAATCAATTAGGCACATCACCCTGAACTTTTACGATGTTAAGACTGTAGGTTCAGGGCATAATGCGAAGATCCCAGAAGTTGATAAACTAGTATGAGCTGATAAAGAACGACCTCTGCCAAACGAAGGAGTTGGAGTTAACTCCGAGTACTTCACAACGTTCCGGTTGTTCACAACATCCCGCATGCCGGAGAGAGCAGATTTCAGCTCATGAGTCTGCGTCTCCAAGGCTTTGATTATGCTTCCCAGCTGCAGACTTTCTGAAAACACAATGAGCATAAAACTCAAAATGCGAGGTTGGTACCACTTGATCACCACTTCGTTGGCAACAAACTCTTATCACGGGATCCTATCGCGAAAGGCAGCAGTAATAAAACCTTGAACGCCATAACAGAATCATTACAAGTAAGTGAAGTCACAAAGAAGACGATATAGAAAATCCGAAGAGTAGCAGGAGGAGCGTATTACCTTTGGCTTTAGCATGAGAAAACTCACGCATTGCTGCAGCCACTTCGGAAGCAGCAGCCGCTGCAGCGTTAGCTGCTAGAGCAGCCTCATCCACAGGTGGCTCAGCAGGTGGCCTTTCTGTGAGTGGAGATATTTCATCTGTTCTCTTTTCCTCTAGCACAATGCTATGTATCCATATTTTGAACTTCGGAAGTAAATACACCTGTAAGCATGGTCAAAACAAGAATTAGTACCACATCACAAACATACTATGAACAGGATGCGTTGTTATTTCAGTCCTGTTACTGTTCCTTCAGGATTAACTGCTGAAACAATTAAAACTGAGTGGTTTGAGAAGTTTGTATGGTGAACACAATGAACTCATTGATTCGCCATACAATTCAATGCGGATGTATCCGCATTATTCCTATATTGATAAAGTGGACCACATGGTGAATGATACACGGACTAGAGATATGACATCTAAAAAATCTGATTCCAACCAAAGCATACAGTACACACCTTGGCGATGACACTTGCGCCGGCACCTGCTGACAAAATTGCCCCTAGCCCAAGCAGCTTCTGTCCCCAGCTTAATTCTCTTGTTTTCTGAGCAACTAAAGCTTGGCTCTGAACTGGAGCATTTGGCAGAGATGAGGATACGCTAGCTTGGGCACCTGATAAATCCCGACTATTAGGTAACTTCTTACGGAGCTACGCTGAAAATAATGGCTCACAAATTGCTTCGAGTAATAGAGACATCTAAGTGCATCGAACAAGACAATAACACTGTTGAATCCGCACTCTCTTAAATGTAAGACTAGGGTTTAGGATGAGCTGACGACAACTACACATGATTGATACTGGCATTTGTAACAAGAAACAAACCTGTTGCTGCCGCAGCAGCTGTAGCTAATTCTGAAGATGGAGGATCCTGAGAAACAATAAACGGTTATGGTTACTCACAATGATTTAAAGATGACACAACATACGAAAGTGAAAATGCGAAGATAATCCCTCGCATAAACCGCCAAGTTACGAGGCCATTGTAATACGAGAGGCATTGTTCTATATCTACATCACTGTCTATGCCATTGCAAAGAAGTCATTCTTCTTGATTCAGAACTACTACGAACGTCACTACCGTGGTTGTCTGCTTCAGTATCAACCTACTACCAAAGTCCAACTTCACAAGACCTGCTTATACAGCACCTCCACAATTTCCAAGGACTCTTCACAACAAACTAGTGGTCACAAAGGAGGTACCTACCGGAACTCTGCGAAAAGCTTCGTCAATTTCCTCTTTTGTCAATCCTTTCTTCTCCAAAAATGAACGCCTATGCACGATGGGCGACGACCTAACTTTGGGATGAGAAAGAAAATTGACAGCATTGATTACTTGATCTTCACGAACTGGTTGGGGCTTGGGTTCCCATGGATCCGTCTTTGGCTTATTTTCCACAGCCTTCGATTCGGTCACCCCTTTTGCTTCTGTACCTACCGCACAACCATCCAAAAGAGATGAGTAAAACAACATTCAAGAAGCTACTACTTCTAAACAAAAATCGGCCTAGTATGTGTAACTTTTTTCGTTTGGTATCGAAACTTCCCATTTCGTCACTAGATACGCTTTGTCTGCTCCTCAAATTACACAAACATGGGACTATTACTTAGGAACAGTTAAAAACCCCTAACATGAGAAATCATCGAACAAGGCACCCCTACTAAATTAATCAAGATTTTTCCAGTTAGCTTTAAATTCAAAAATCCAAGTAGCCAAACGGACGTGCACACCTTGCTCCGGCGAAATACCCATAAATCCCACAACGTCTTTCCCCTCCTGTTCCTTCAACTCCCTTCACCCTGCCGCAACGCAATCCTCTAAATCCGCACGCGTTAAAGCACTTCCAAACCGACGCTCTTCTCTGTTCCTACCTCCCCTCCAGCACAAACGTTTCACACCCTGCGATCTAACCAATCCCACTCACGAAACACAATATCACAAAGATTCGGCAGCACGATCTTGAAGGTTGCTCTCGTTTCGACAGCAGCGAGAAGAGGAAACAGCATTACGGACGCAATCTCCGACACGAAATTCGCTTCAAAGATCGGATGCTCCTCACGAACCTACTGTGAATTGGCGCAAGTGATTCCCGACGCGAGAAGTATCCGGAAGAGGATTGTGCCGAATAGAATTGGGGCGGATGTCCACCCCAGTTGAGGCGGTTGGGTTCTGATGGCGTCGTCAACTGCGGTCACAGAGACTGTGGGCTTGGGATCGGTGACCAGCAGCGCCATAGCCACTGCCCCTCGCCACAGCTCCTGGCCATAGCCACAGCCACTCGCCACAGCCCCTGGCCATAGCCACATGGCATCGTCATCTACAGCACAGCCGTCGTTTGTCCACATAGACAATAGTATTAATTACTTCACATGGTTGTCTGAATGCAAATATAATTTATTTGTGTGACGATTTTTTTGACTCTATTAATTTTGATTATTTTAAAAATCAGAATATGAATTTTTTGACAGATGATTTGTTTGATTATTTAGTGTCTGATTGTCTACAGACTTTATGGATCTGTATATGTGTTATGATATATTTGGCCTTAATCTGACAATTATTGCAATTACAATGTCCATACATAGGTCTTGTATTCCACACTACTTTTATTATTATTATTATTATTATGCTCAGCAACAAACTCAAAAAGTATTTTATTTTATATATAGATTTTATTTTTATTTGTCAGTCTTTGAATCCTAGCACCCAAATCATGTTCTTGCAAAATTATCTTTATTTATTTATTTATTATTAATTATAAGCCATAGCTAGAAGAAGAATAGATTAATAATTTTATTTTACTTTATGTTGGTTGATTATAATCACCTTATATAGTTAGCCATTTAAGATGAGATTTATTTATTTTTACCTAGATATAAATTTTAATGCTTTGTTAATTTTTATTTTTGATTTTTTTTGACATACTCATGGTATATCTAATACATTAATTAAGTACATAGCATTCAAGAACTTAAAAATTGAAGGACTAAATGGTGATTGAATTACTACTACAATTACTATACTATATATTATATATATTATAGTATGTTTGTTACTAAGCTATTGTGTACAATTATGCTCATATACAAAGGATTCAGGTTCTACCTATGAATTTGTGGTGTTAATACCTAATATATTCTTGTCCATCCATGTTTTATCTACTATTTTTTCTACTATGTCTAGAATAAGTTTCCACATTACTTTACTATAGTCTAAGAGATTGGATTAGATTGCTATTCTAATTTTCTTGTTATTTCATATTAATCCATTAAATGAAAATTCATTTTGTTGCTTTCAAATAGTCTATAAAATGTATACCTTATAATAAAAACCATATTGCTTTGAACTATTTGAACTTGGAAGGTATGTCTTTTGTGAAAATAATTGCTTCTATAAGAATGATGGTTATAAGCAAACTCTTTTGGAACTAATAATTAACTTATTTATTAGAAGTATGATCCAACATCATATTTTTTTGAATGAATTGTCTACTAAACTTTACAATATATGCTATAATATTAATTATTGATTGCTAATAATATATGAGGATCAAAGATTCTTTTTTATAAGCCACTAAATATAATCTTAAAACATTGATTTGTTATGCCAAAGCATACAATTTTTTTTAAAAAAATTTATCAAAAAACAATCAAGATTTCAATACCTTCTGTAAAGAATTTCCAATCCACAAGATATTATGCCTCTAATAATACAAGAATTGGATTTTGAAGGAATACACTACTATGTAGAGGTCGTTAGAGTGATCTCTTGAATGAAGGCGGTAGATGATCAAGATAAAGACATATGATTATGTTTTGGCATATAGATGTGGTTTCACATTTATACATGGCTATAGGTGATTGATAGGTTAGAAACTTGGCCAATAAGTTAGCGACATGTTGCATGTATTAGTAACTTGTAGTACAAGCTAATGATGTAATACACATAGAAAACTTGCCTTACAAGTTAAGACATGTGTCTTGCAAATTACAAAAGTGTTGAAGGACCTATAGAACATTGCTATGTAGCTCTTAGATAGATAATATATATAGAGGGAAGAATGAAGTCTTCTTCACTCTTATCAATTCTTTTCTTGCTTCTAATCTAGTTTAAAGGATCTTTAATTTTTTGTCTTTTAAAAATAGCTATTTTAATTTCTTTTTGAATATACATACTTTCTTATTTCTATTTTTTTAATATTTTTTATCTTTCTTATGAAAAAAGTCTCACTTATTTATTTACTTTCATCAAGTTCTTATCCTTAATAGATTGACAAGAGTATATTTACAATATCAAAAAAAAAAAATCTTCTTAATCATGAGTGTTTTTTTTTTTTTTTTTTTTTTTTTTTTGATAATACATAAATAAATTAGAAATTATGGATTATCCACTTTTTAACTAATATTATTCTTAAAATCTCTTTTGTTCTTTAGTCCTCACTTCTATTTATCGTAAAAGATATTATACATTTACTTTTTTATTATGTAATCATGGTAAAGCTTGCTAAAATGAAGAGTGCAATGGCACAAATACAAGAGCAATTGAGGAAGCTAATACTTGCTATGCATCAACTCAATTTACTACCACAAAGAACAATAAGATTGATAGGTAATAAAGATATAGAAATAATTGGTATTGCTTCAATATCTACACCAAATCATGCTACTCCTTCTATAGTGGAACATTGTTCAAGCAAAAAAGAACCATAAATTATCTTCTCCAAGAAGTTTGATGAAAAAAGATCAAAATTTTAAAGATTCATCAATCAAATACAATTGGCAATAGAACTTCAATCCCAAAGTTATTCAACTCTAGGATCACAAATCAAGTTTATTGATATACTTCTTTTAGATTTTGTATTATTATAATTTTTATCTTTTTTTAAAAAATGTGATCCAATATTAGATAATTTGGAGGCTTTCTTGGTAGATTTTTGATCCATAATTTTTTTGGAATATATAATAGTTGAAGAAGTCTATAAGCTCAATGACGAAGAGTTTTTGATCTTGAACAAAGATCACATGATTGTACAAAATCTTTGACTACTTTCTATATTTGCGGCCATCAAAAATCTCTAGATATTAATTCCAAAGTCTTATTGTATCTAAAATGTCATATTGTTGGAAAGTTGTAATGAACTTCAAAAACATGTAATCATGCTTCATTTTCTGAAATATATGAGAAACCTTTGAAATAAAGTAGGTTATTTTAAAATTCAAACTTAAAAGTATGATGAAATTTTATTAATTTCTTTCTTGCTTCTATTCTAATTTTAAGAGTGTCTAATTTTCTTTTCTTTTGGTAATAGCCATTTTAGTTTCTTTTTGAATATATATACTTTTTTATTTTTATTTTGTCATCTTTTTTATGAAAAAAGCTTCACTTATTTATTTGCTTTCATTGAGTTTTTATTATTGACATCTAATCATTGAATTGAAGAGGTTTCAATTGAAAGCCAAGTATTTGTCCCCAAGTTTCACAATATCTATCAAAGATACACATCTAAAATATTTTTTTAGTATTTTTAAGATCAAAAGTGTATGTGGCTTTATTAAGTAATATAAAATAATTTGTATCATTATTACAAAAAAAAAAATTAATCATTTTGCATTCTTCTTTTATAAAGTTTAATTATTCTTAATAGTAAAATAGAAGAGTCAATAAGAAAAAATTCTTCATCCCATCATAGAAATTTGTTTCATACTTCAAAAAATATTTAGAGGTATTTGTTTTGAAGTGTGTATCTATTTTTGACTAGTACTATTAATATGTATCAATATTTTTGATCTTCTATTCTATTTGTATTTAAAAAATAAGATCTATGCACAATCCATATTCTATTTATTTAGTGCTTTAAAGAATTAGTGCTTTATATATATTCTTTTATCTCTATTTTAAAGTTAAGATTGATTTATTAACATATTAACTTAGAATTTCTTATAAATCTTTATGAAATAGAGTAATACTATAGATCTTATCTTCCTTGATTTTTTCATTAATAGATATATTAATTATTTCTTTTAATATTAAAAAAAAAATATCAAAAATGTATACTTGTCTCACTTTTTAAAAAATAAAACATAATATTTTAGATATAGCATATATCAACTTTAGACATATAATAGCTTTAATATTATTAAATAATAATTGAGATATTTTAAAAAGCTTTGAACTAAATCCAAATTTTTCTATTACAAGAAAAAAAAAGAAAAAAAGGCCAACCTATCTTATGATAGATTTTTCAAAAGTCCAAATTTGATTACAATAAAAGTTAGTTGGAGGTTTTGGTCTAATGTGTTGTTTTTTATATGACCAAGAAGTTGTTCAAAATGTAACCAAGAGAAGAAAATACAATTTAATATGGATTAATAATTTGATTAAAACTATTTGAAGTCTTTTTTGAAGGGTCTTAGCATAAATCTTGTATAAAGTATTCAATAAGGATACAAACCTTTAATTTGATAATAGTATTTAATGCCTATATTTGAAAAAAAGAAAAATTATTCTTCTTACTATACTTTAGAAAATTTTTCTATATTCTAGGATGTTATTGATCATACATGTATAATCTTTGCAAATAGATCTCTAATAGAACTTAAAAAATTCTACACCAATACCATTGAGATCTAATTTTTTTTTCAAAGCTTTATTCTTTATAGTTATCTTAAGTTTCTTTTTGCATAATAAATAGACATAAACTAAAATTCAAGTGATTAAATTTTTAGAATTGGAGTCAAGCTAATAAATCTTTCATCATATTTTTTTTTCTATCTTTTATATCAATTGAATTAGAATATAGATTATTATAGAAGTCTATATATACTTCTTTAATGAAAGTTTATCTATGTATCTTATTATATTAGATATTAAAAATCTTGGTGATTTTTTTGTCTTAGATGCCTCTCCTTGAGTATTGTAAAAACTTCTTAGAACATCTATTACTTGTGTTTTTCTATCTAACTCAATCCATTGTTTTTATTCCTTCTTCGTTTTATTCTTTAAAAAAATCTAAATTCTTTTGTGCTTGTTCTAATAATGGTTGGACTAACAAATCTTGTAAATTAGCTTCTAATTAATATTAAATTTAAAATGATTATATATATATATATATTCTATTTTTTTTCTTTGGTGAGCCTAATCTTTACAACAAAGTTAATAGAACCAAATAACATATTTAAGCCAATTAAAAAAAGACCAACATTTTTTATATGATTCTAAATTTAAGGAATTTTTTTGTTACATATTGATCTTTAAAATGGAAGGTATTTAATTTATAACTTAAACATCTAAGAGAGATGTAAATAAATTGGTTGGAAGTTTAATAGAACCTATCAAGCTAGCTAATTTGCTCACTCAATCTTTCTTATTGTCTTGAGAGTAGTTTAGTTGTTGTTGATGGATATAGAAATTATTTAATTGAAGTCTAATTTTAAAGAAATTTCATATAAAAGTCTTTTCTTTGATTAAAATTCTTTTGAAATATAAGAAATTGTTTATATATATATATATATATATATATATATATATATCTATTCCAATCATATCCTCTAATCCATATAAGATTATGAAAAAAAAGTTCTAACATATCAATACATAGTTGTCTTCTTTCTATATACTTATTAAAATTATAAATGGTAGAAATATCTATTTATTTCCTTGTGATATCTTTCATAACAATCTAGAAGCTCTTATTATGTATAAGTGAATCTACTCTTTCTAAAAAATATTTAATTGAAGGAGAAATAATGATGTACACATACCTTGTACCTGTACCATTTGCATTACTAATATATCTTAGTGCCGCTTTTAATATATAAATATCACTTATTGGCTACAATTGACAGCTCAGGCCTTGAGTTCTTCATCCACATAAATTATATTCTTAAAAAAATAAGATATTATATTTAAGTTGAATAATTTGGTTATAAATTTTTAATTTAATATTTTTAATAGATTATTTCATGTGCATATATTATAGATAATAATATTTAATTTCATAGAATCATTGAAAAAAAAAAAAATCACTTACTAGTATGTCTAATAGAAGTTATTTTTTTAGAGATTTGTTGCTTTCTTAATCTTATTAAAAGTCCCTTCTTACTTGGTATCTTCTTATCTTAAAAGAACCAAAAAGAGAAAGATTTCTTGAGAATCAAACATGTATAAGAAAAATCTATGTTCTATTAATCATATTATTAAGATCAAACATAAAATAAGGATATATACTTATTTACTTATTAATATAATTCTTTGACTTATGAAATTGAATATAAATAGAAGCTAATTTTTTACTACCAATTCTTAAGAAATAATACTTATGGTCTTCAAATATATTTTTATTATTATAACAATCCAAAACCACTAAATAAGAAGAAGAAGTTCTTGAAGCATAGTTCATAGTTGCTACAATTTTAGAACTATGAGAGAGAGAGAGAGAGAGAGAGAGAGAGAGTCAATAAATCTTGATCTCTATGACATAATTTAGTCATGGCTAAACTCTCTTGTAATCTAAATCATAACAAAATGTTGCCATTAATACTCTTTTTGAGCCAAATACTTCTTCGGTTTTCACCTTTGAGTTGATTGGTTGTGCTTCTAAATCCACATGGCAATGGTACTTCATATTGGTAGAATGGTTGATACCAAGCTTTGTAGGTCTTTGCAATTCAAGGTACTCTACCAAAAGACATTGATTCAAGGCAACCCTTGAGCCAAAATCCTTGTCTTTTAATATAGGTATGTATATATATATATATATATATATATATACATTTTTTGTGTATCAAGAATTATTGGCCAATAGATATACTTATTCTTTAGTTTGTAGGTATAAAATATCTATTGTTGGCCGATATTAATTAACATCACCTGTAGATCTATATAATCTATAATATTGTATAATGAGTTATCTTACTTGAGAATGCATTAAGCACTTAGTTGTAGAAAATAAATTACAAATTACAACAACAAAGATCTTAATATCTCTAATAGAGTCCTAATTAAATCCCAATCAAACCTTAGCAATCCCAATAAAATCTTAATCAATTCTTAAGGAGTTATATGTATATATATATATATATATTAAAATCATAAAGAAATCATAATTTTTTAAATTTATTTTATAAAAAAATCATAAAAAATCTTTTAAAATATTAAAAAAAATATATTATATATAAATAATAAGATAATCCTGAAAAAAATTAAAATTTTAAAATTTAAAATAAAATAAAATAAAATAAAATATTTTAAAATCATAAGTAAATTCTAACCAAATCCTAATGTAATCCTAAAAGAATCCTAAATTTTTTTTAATGAAATCCTAAATAAATCTTAAGTAAATCCAATGTAAATTCCAACCAATTTTCAATAGTAATTTTAAAATCCTAACAACTATTAATTGAACCTTTGATTTTGACTCAAATATATGCCTCATTTCAATCTTAAAATAAGCAAAAAGCACAAAAATTTTAAGGAAAATAAAACTTACTAATTACAAAAAAAAACTCCTAATACTCTTGGATGTTGGCCATCTTCCTTCTCCAACATAGATGTTGACCTTCTATCAGCAATTACTCCTTGTTGAATCATTTAATTGCTCTCCAAATTAGCAAAAGTATAGAAACACAAGTCTTATATGTCTTTACAATTTTTTTGCTTCAATCTAATGGAAAAATTACCTAAGATCACAAAAAATCTCATTGATCCTAATATTCAAATATTCAAGATCCTAATTTAACCAAACTTATATATTTTTAAATCTAATTATTTGATTGGCTTGAGATTTTCAAAATACAATAAGACAAACATATTTACATATCTTTCAAGTTTCACTTGTACTTTTGCTACAATACTCACAAATTTTGCATATATAAAAGTTGTTTTTTATTTCTCAAAACCCAAAATCATTGAAAACATCTTTTATTTTGAAAAACTCTCAAGAATTCAATATCTATCCAAATTACTTGAAACTATTGCTAAAAAAACCTTTAAAAAGTTTTCTCTCTAATCTTGGTCTTTAATTAGCAAAATATCCTTAAAACTGTTTTAAGTGTATGATTTTGTATTCCAAGATCTGATTTTGACCTTAATTCACAATCTGTTCTTTGATAATATCAATTCTTGGTTTCTTGAGGCAATATATGGTAGAAATTAATTTTAAATTTATATTAAATATATCTTTATTATTTATTTTTTTAATCAACTTTTTTTTGCTTTAATTATATTTATACAATATATATATATATATATATATATATATATTTTAGATTTAATTTTTTAGTACCTCCTTATCTTTTATCTATATTTTTCTACTGTATTTTTTTAATAAGAGACTTCTATAATAAAACCTATATTTTTATCTTTCACCATATAATCATGTTACATTACAATGGTAGTGTTAAGGTTGTCCAATGGACTCTATTTTGCCACCAAGTACTAAACATATTTGGTCTATATTCCAAGACTAGTAAATTTGATGTGCATGTGCTTATTTGATAAAACAAATTCAAGCTTTAATTTACAAAGTTCCATCTTACTTCAATACTTTATTCTCCATTTGTGTTTAAGTTTTTGTTTACAAAACCTTCAGCTTTCTATACTTGATTATTATTTGAGACTTGTGTATTAAGACAACTTTTCTTAATGATTAGATTGAATTTAGACAAACAATGATATATATATATATATATATATATATATATATAATGAAATATAGAGTCTACATCAATCAAAATTTATAAGAATGAAATAAGTCTTAGGAATTATATTTTAAAAAGAAAATTATGGTCACAAATGGTATAGGTTATCTTTCTTTGGTTTACATCAAACATGACAAAATATCCACAAACAATTACAACAATTAACAATCACATTTATCAATACATTCATATTCATAAAAAAACTTTAAAAAAAAGAAAAGAAAATGGATCTTAACATGCTACGTAATATTTTATCTTTAATTATAAAACTGAATTGCTTCTACAACAAACATGATTTACAAAAAATATGCTGTCATAATATCAACAAGCTTTACAATTATTTTGATGCACATCTTTGGTAACTATTCACACTTGCATGTTTGACTTCAACAGGTAATTAAAAACTTTGGTGACGATTTTTATTTTGATAATTCGGAAAATTACTAATTTAAGAAGAAGAATGAATGTACAACCCATTTGACGTTCGTCATCACTGGATGAACTCATGTGAATGGAACACTGTGGAACATTCGAACGGAGCACGTTCGTGGCAATTCCCCCCGAGCGGGGGTCTTGTCAGTGTGGCCTTGGCTATGGCGGGCCCCCGTCCCCTAACTGCCTCGACTCCGCTGCTACTCGTAAACCAACATTGTGTCAACTGCCATCGCCACAGTCCAGCTCTGCGCCTTCTATAGCGATACGATTCTTGTCTTGATTGAGTTACATTTGTTCGTTTGTGCTTGTCTTTCAATCTGGGGAGCTTGTGAGATCTCTCTCGCAGGAGTGTTCAATTGTCGTCCTTCTGGGGACGCTGTGGTCTGTTGTTGGAATTTGGGTGATTGATTATCGTTTGTGAGAGTTGGGCAGTGACGTTGCAGACAGTTCCGTGGTTTTCAATTACTTGTTGTGTGTGTAGCTTGATGTGAGTAGTATTCGTGAGCCTTGGATTGTGGTTTCTTGAACTTTGGGGTGGCGATTTTTTTAGGTTTAAACTCAGTTGGGGATCAGCTGTCTCGGGGGGTATCCTTGAGTGTAGGTTACTTGGTTTGATATTGAGAAATTCTTAGGGCTCCAGGTGTTTTATTTTGTTGAGACTGGGGCGTGAAGTTATTGCATTCCCCGGTTCTGCTGTGTTGAACAACGCTACAAAGCTTACTTTGCGGTTGCTGTTGAAGTGTAGAAAATGTTCGATTTTTGACATAATGCAAAGCCTGACCAACTTTAAACGTGATACCTAGCTGCTCTGAACATTTTAAAAATGAACCAGAATTATGCTTCTTAAACCGCCTAGATTTACTTTGAATGACTACTCATCAAGCCGAATTTAAATTTGGTTTGTCAAAATTAACATCTCTTTCAACAACGGTCTTTTTGCGGCTCTCTGGATTTATTGGAAGCATGCCTGTGAGTATTATAGCGGTTGAAATCTATATTTTGGAAGGGGAGTATCCATGCCTAGCGGAGGAGAGAATATGTTAATTCGTGTTTCACACATTCACCAAACGAAAGTTCATCAATGTAAGAAACCTGTGAATGGATCGAACAGGGTTCATAGTATACCCTTTGAAAGTCACGGAGGGTTGAAAGATCAACAGCGCGCCGATGACATGGATGATACCAGTGTTGAGTTTCTTCAGGGTTCTGGTTGTGAAGCAAAGCATTCGGATTTTATTTTAGCGCACGAGGAAAAGAGTGAGCACGATCAATCAGTGGTATTGGACTCATCGAAAGGGTTAGAGGCGAGTCCAGATTTCAGAAACAGGATTACTCGGCAATTGCGCTGTCCAGCATTTGCCTGGAAATCATTGGAGGCCATGCCTGTCCGTGATCTCTTCCGTGTGACCCACTCAATCTCGGAACCAAAACCATCAAAAGACTCGGATGAGACCTTCGTTAAAAATGGAAGCAATTTATTGAGTACAGTAGAAGGTGAAGGAATATACTCTGAAAAGGAGTTAGTCTCTGTTGTGCTTGCATTTCAGCGTTGGCGTCATGTCCATCTGAAGGTATGTCCAATGGAGCTTTTGGATTTTTTTCTGATTCTTAAACAAATAGCGTATGGTAGTTAGCTTACTCTGCAGCATTTTTTTCCTGTCTGCCCAAGTGACAGCTTCACGACACAAGGTTCATTAGCAGAAGAACTTTGTGTGTAAGATGGATTTGCATAACTACTTGTAAAGGGTACGAAGTTGATAACTTCGCGACCGCAAAGACCAATCCAAACCTCCAGGCAGCACGCTTGTTTAGATGGTCATGACATCAACTTTCATCAAGATCACCTGCACAAGACAGTTTGTCAAGCTATTAATATATTTTCTCAGAGTTTTGTTGTTGCGAATTGACAATTTCGTCAGAGTATCTGAACTTCATATTGTGCACTTGAATCATTTAGTGGCTCATGAGTTATCTCCTTGAATCTTTTCAATTTCTTGCCTGATATTTTGCGTACGTTGATTCCAGAACATACTGGGCCAAGAATTAAGAAAGGTGCTGGAAGAAGCTCGAGAGGATGAGACCACCCTATCAGCACTGGAAACTGAGCTGGAGGAAACTGAACAACAGTTGACTTCTGCACGCGCTAACTCCTCAAAGCTCCGCAGCCAACTTGCCGCATCAATGATTAACAACCATGATAATAGCTATTCTGCCCACAAGACTACTGTATGTTTCTTTGCATCAAATTCGGATTGGCGCACTTCCAACAGCAACCAGATGTCATTAGTCCATTCTGTGTTATAGTGATGGTATCTACTCTGCGTATTAATGAAGTGTCCCTTGTGATAATCTTTAGTTCAATCTTTTTTATTTCTTTGTTCTCCTTTAGAGCGACTTCTATGTGGAGAGTTCAATGAATATTGTGATGCTAACGAAGTTTCTGGACTCTGGAGTGGTCAGAATTAAAAAGCTGAATGGGTTTAATAGTGGAAATCAGGTAAGCAAGAGTGAGATGGAGATGATGAGGATTATGGAAAGATTAAAGGAAGCGGATATAGAAATTCAGTGGCGGGATAATGAGGTCCAGCAGCTTAATGAGAGAATAAGATGTATGGAGGATCGAAGTGGACGAGTCGATGACAAACTAAGTTGCCTTCAAGCCGAGAAGATTAACCTCCAAGCAGAAAATAGAGCTCTTCTTGAACAGGTTCGGCTTCACGTAGATCTTATATCTCTTTTCTTTTTTGACATGCTTACAAGATTTTGCAGGACTGAAATTTGTTGGCTATTACTGACCACATTGAACACTTGGTGTGTTAGTTTTCTAGGGATAAAGAAGTAATAAAGCAAGCAGAAGAGATTGAGAGGCTCAAGCCCTCAACAGACAGACTGGTGGAACAGCAGAAATCAAAGCACCAGCGGCTGGAGTCATTAGTGGCCAAATATAGTGCAGAAGTTAAGACCCTGCAAGAGCAATTGCAACAAGCATGTGAAGCTAAGTGTTCAAAAGAGGTCTTGCAAAAAATTCACTATTTTAGTCATGCACAAAACGATTTATGGAAGATTCTGGCAAAGGTCGTTAGGTCAGAGTAACTACAATCTATTACGGAAACAGTTTTCTCTACATGTCTGCTTTAAAGAAACTTTTTTCTCTTTCGGAGTAGCAAAGAGACTGAGTTCAGAATGATGTAGCGTTGTATCCTACGAATTGATGAAAGGTTTTCTATTGCACGTGCTAAAGTGTCCTTTCAGGATGCAGTTCCTAGTTTGACCTGCTTACTGTACCTAGTTTATGCACTGTGTACCTGGCTTCATGGCGAATTTTTGCTACGGTTAGTCACTATTGTTGCGTCTAGCAGATAGAGTTGGCTACTGCAGTGAAGCACTCCAGCCATTTGAAGCAGGAGAAGGACATCCTGCTGTTACAACTTCTAGAAGCTGAGAAGCGGGCAGATCTTGCATCTGCCCGTGCAGAGGTAATTCGACCCTCCCGATTCGGTGATTCTTTAGCAGTCGCCTCTCCAACATCCACACCAGCAAACGCACTTGCATTGAAATTGGAAATAGCCCAAACTGTAGTTAGATTTGTTTGACGCTTTAATGTGGATTCATTGAAGGGGACTCAACTCCTATTTATGTGGAGACCAGGAATTCTGCGTGAAACTGCACTTCACTTCAAATGATGGAGCGAAAGCGTCAGAAGAAGTTCTCTCAGAGATGATCAAACATCTAAAGAAATTGACGGATCACGTGAGAGAACTAGAGACCACCGTCTATGCCGCGGATCACGCGGAACCATTCTCTCCGCACGCTGATGGATCCAGTATCCGTCCTAAATTAGTGAACTCTATAGGGAGTAAGAATTGGTGTGCTGAAGCTGGCAAGTGTGGCACATCAGAGTTAGACCAAGTTTATTGCTCCTTTCCTCAAGATACAGTTTTAGGATTGTTACACAGTATTTACCAATTGTGCCCAGCTTGCACAATAGTCAATGCACACGACCGAAGTCATGTCAGTTTTTCTACTGATAGTGACCACGTACTCTTAAATCCTTCAAACAGAGTGCATCATTCACATCCACAACACATATGTCAGGATAAGATCAATAGTTGGATTTGGAAATGGCGGTGGGCTGCATCCATTGCAAGGTAACGACCTTTCTCATCGTCTTTTCCTTGTGGAAGCTTGTAAATAGAAGCTTGGCAACAATCCTCCTCATCGCCCTTGCGATGAAATCACGAAGGGGAGGCATTTTGGTCACAGTAACTGGAAGGAGCTTTGGCGAGTTTTAATTCTAACCATCATGGTTTTTAGCTGAAACCGATTCTAGTTGAGTTTTTCTGAGGTTTCCAGGGTGGAGTTTCTTGCCAGAAAATTGCACAGCTTTGACCAAAAACTGTCGGAGGAATCACGTCGGGTACATGATTTTCACGAAACCTTTAATGTCAGAACATAACTCCTTGGTTTAAGTAAGCATATTACTTTGATGATCTCGGTACTTGAGGAAAACATTTCTGATTTTTTTGAGTTCATTCCGACACTTACCAGTTGCTTGAATTGTCTTGGCAGGAACATAAAGTGCAAGAGTTAATAGAGAGGCTGAGAACGGCAAATCTGACGACATGCGTGGAGAATGAGTTAAGCACCATGGTAGCAGATCACAAACTTGTGCCATTGATATTGTCAGCATGGCGAGCATTCGCCCGTACATCTGTGCTTGAGCGGAAAGCCATCTCTCGGGGTGCTTTACTGGACAAAATGCTCAAGGCTTTACCTTGTTGGATTCGAAGAGTAAGCAAGCGGCGACAGCTTGAACGAAGTTTTTTTCGATGGCAAGTAGTGACTTTGAGCAGCGATCAGCAACCGAGGTCCCAACAAGAGACGAGAAATAACTCCAAAAATAAGATTGTGGAAGAGCTGCATCCTGGTCATGAAGATTCAAAAGCACCGTCCAAGCTCCTTTCTTCTCCAACAAATCGTCAACGACTACTCTCGGAATCCTCGGATAAAACTGTTGTTACTGTCCAGCGGAGACCTGTAAAGACACCCGCAGCAGTTGCTCACCACAGGGTCAGCCAGAAACTCAATCTTGGAGATAACGGGAATCAACTTTCAAGCGGTTCCCAGACCAGGGTTTTGCAGGCATTGCAGGTATCGTGATTTCCCTAATGGCTGACTTAGGTACTCAAGGAGGTCTCCTGCTGTCTCTGGAGGTTACGGAAAGAAATAGAATTCCACCAAGTGACTTTATTGATTTCTCTAAATCATATTGGTATTTTAGTAACGTATGTGGGTCCATCTCTCATGCAGACAACATTGCAGCAGGAGGAGGTCGAACTTAAGAAAATTTTGTGCCACGAGATTCAGCCTTTGCAGCGCCACGTTCAGGTCTGCTACTATGCTCTCTGTGTCACTAAAACCTGCTCTTTGATTTTCTGATCACCACCATCATGGAGTGACAAGAAAATAGGACGTTCGACAAGTTTCTGCAAGGAGTTAGATACGGACGTAGAGGGGTGTAATGTAATGATCTAAACTTTCTCGAAAATTTAGGATAGAGTCTTATTGAGTCCTTCCCAACACAAAGTAGGTCTATCCTTTGGAGATACGATGCTGAATAGGAGTGCCTCAAGTTCACCTTTCGACTGATGCTTATCTCATGTAGATCCAGAGCAGGCCAGCAACCGCGCCAACCATGTCCTCGTCCGCAAAAGTACGCGAACCTGACGAGGATAAGGTGTTGAAATCGGTATTGGGCGTTTGCAACAACTTAGCATTGGCTCTCACTAACGTGAGAGAAAAACTCAGCCCCCATGTTCTGGCAGACACAGAGAATACATGCAGTACAAACCAGCGCGTGAAGCCAAACAAAAAAGTGTCTAATACAGGCTTGCTTTTGCAAGATTCCAGAAGGGCACGGTTCTTGGACGACCAGACAATCAATACCAGTGCCAGGAGTGGAATGGAACCTGGCAGACCAGAATTGCCAAAACCTCCTCCAGATTTGGAGGGCTTGGGTACCCATACACGGCCACGAGGCCCAACTTATACTTGTGGCAAAAAAGCTGCCTACGTAACTTCGAGTCAGCAAAGAGTAACACGGATCGCTTCCATAGGTGACGAGGAAAGAACCCGCCGGTTGTCATCAACCACAGCATCAAGTTTGCAGAAAGATGCATTCCATGTTTCGCTGGATTCAAGATCGACCAGATCTAGTGGGTGTGCACCAACAATGGGGCTTCAAAAGCTCAATTCCAGGAATGAGTCCTCATTCCGAAACGGACAAAATGATACAATGACCCCAAGAACAAAGAGAGCTAGGCATGAGATTAGACCAGCCGTGGTGAATGCCTCGAAGAAAGAACATCGCAGCTCGATAGTATATTCCCTCTTCCCGGTTCAAGAGAATAAAACGTTCAAGCGTGTTCCTTCATGCAACAGAAAATCTACACGGACCTCAAATCCGGCGTTAAACATTACTGTGATAAAGAAAATCTTGGAAGGCGGAGCAGCGAATGCATCACTAGACGAGAAAAAACTCTTAGGATCAGCATTTACCAGACTGCTGGGTGCAAAAATATCCAAGTTGCGAGGGGGCCAGGCAATGTGAAGAAAGGGACCCTCCAAGTTTGAGATTTATCTATTTCAATCAGACTTGAAGCAGGGAGATTCGGGTTTCTATTCGTAACCTCATTTCTAGAAATTATGTGGAGCCAATTTTATAAGAAAAAAAAAAAAAAAACCATCTAAAGTCGCCTCACCGCAGTTGGGTGCCACAGTTCGAGTTGCGTTCTTGCTCGTTGGGAAGATTTGTCTTAAGTTTGTTGCTAGTATCGTTCTCCACACTAAGTTTTTGATACTTTGAAGTGCAGTTGATATTAGAACGAATGATTTTTAATACTGGCTAGAGAGGTGATAATTCCGTAAATTCTGATTTTTTGAAAATTATGATTATAGAGCGAAACAAGAATCTGTCCACCCAGTATTGTAATTTTTTTTTTTTCTTGAGATTTGTCTAATCATTGCTTGCACTTCTGGATTTTCTTCACACAAGTATTCATTTGTACATCATACTCTATGCAGGATTTGGAAGGAATGTGTGTATATACATATTTATTCATTCTAATCAATTTCTACTTCTAAATAACCTGTACTCATTCAGAATTTATGAATTTTGGTTTTTTTGATATCTATTTGCATATGTATATATATATAATGTTTTTCAAAAAATAATTAATCATATGAGTGTATTACATTTTAGTTCTCGTTAACATACTGGAAAAATATTTCATAACATTATGCAATTGGAGATGATAATAAAATTTACTGTAATACAGTGATTCAATATGGATTTTATCATCCTTAACATTTATCAAAATTCTAGTAATGCTGAAAAGCTGTTAAATGCAACAGTGTTTACATTATAAAACTAAATGGAAAATATCAAACATTAATATGAAAAAATTTCAGACATTATTTTTTATTTTGGAAGATTATTAAAAATTATTTTTCTAAAACTATTAAATTGTATTCTTATTTTAAAATAAAATGATAAAATCATTTTCAAATAAAAACTAAGATGAGAAAAAGGATTAAAATAATAATAACCTTTATAAATTCAACAGTAAAAACAACAAAATCACATGTATTAGTTACACGGAAATAATAAGTTATACTTAATCCAAGCACATTCCTTGTGCCAACTCGAAGCAGTTTCGCAGGACAAGTACCTCCTCTCACTCTGACATTTTTTCTTCTTCAATCCATCCATCATCAATGCATGTTCAGGTACCAGTCTCAGATTTTGTGAGCAGGTTTTTACCAAGTTTGGGGTTTAAAATAAAAACACAAATATATTTAAGAACAATTAGACAGGGTTGAAAATTTAGGATTTCTTAAAGTGTTCTTGTGTGAGAAACCATTAAGATTTTCTATTCATCCAGTACCAGCTGGGTACCTGTTCCACTATGGCCAAGTCAAAGTTAGTACAAAATAAGTATACTGCTTACTTCTTACCAAACCTAGAGTTCCAATGTGGTTCCAATGAGATTCCAGATTTATGGATGAATTTGTGCAGTTGATTGATGCAACTTACCAATCGTACAATTTCACGTTGTCCAAAGCTTTGACCACAAATTGCACATAGAGCTAAGTTCCCCACAATGCGGAATCAGCATGGGTGTGCCTACATGTCATTACAAATTGCAATCTCCTTGATGCACATATGTGCCAGGTCTTGGCCTACTTAAAATGATCTATACAACACTTCACCGATTGTAGGATCCTCCTACACTCAACCCCCACACACCCCCCAGCAAACCTCTATTCTTTCTAATATCCCACCATACACTGCACAATAATGGTTGTGAAGTGCCAAATTCCCAAGTTCAAACTCCTCCACATCAAACCTGTCTACACAGATAACAGCATGTTATGTGTGGGAATGATGCAATACGACCTTTACTGTACAAGACATTCGTACTTTACACATGGTCTTCTGAAGACGGCATTCAAAATTAAGAACCCACAAAATAAAAGCAACACAAATAGGAAGACTAGGTGCTTCAACATATCCAGCTCAAGCATGGACTGTCTTGAGATTTGATACCATCACATACAATATAGGGTATAAAACATTCGAGGATTACACTTACAGTTTGCCAGCTACTTTTTCCCGGACTTCAGGGTGTTGCTGAGCCTGTTCAACAAATTCAATTCAAATTGATCCAATTAAATACGTAGGCATTAAATCTCGAGAGCGATGCACCCTAAATGCTCAAAACTAAGATATTTGCCAGTAATTGAATTGTACGGGGGTGTGTCAGATGCGTACCAGTCCAAGCCCTCAAAGAGCCCATCACCTTTGATGGCTGAGGTTTTAAATATGGACCATTGTCTGTTTTTGATTGTATGCAAATTCAAAGCCTCTGAAACAGCAGCTGCATCGAGGGCTCCGGGTAAATCCTAAAAACCAAGAGACACATTCACTTTCAAGACAATAATTCTCATACACACATAGTATGTAAGTCGTTAACTGCTGTACTCTTACTAAAACAGGAGTCACTCTTCAGAGATGAAAATTTTGGTGATCGTAGAGATAATGCAGAACCAACTGAAGCAAATTGTAAGTTGTTTCTACAAACTAAGTGTGATCCAGCGTGACGTCTGATGAATCTGTCAATGCAACAAACGCAAATTTACATGACATACCTGCTTATTTGCATAAATCAATATCACAGAATCCTTCAGCTCTTCCTCCTGTCAAGCCAATTGCGAATTAAAAAAATGGCACCTACCAAGCCCAACGCAAAATTATCTCTAGCCCACGGAGACACACCAAAAGATATAGAATACTCAGAAACTTGCACAGTTCTCAAGAACCAAAGATCGGACAGTGCCACCACGACAATTATGCCCTTCTGAGTAAGTACTCTGCATGAGCTCACAATCCAGGTGACAGCTAATCGATTCCCAATTTAAGTTAATAAGATACGAACTGACCAAATTCTACAAGCAGTTCATGACAGTCCCACCCATTGTTCACTTCAGACATAAATTCAGCTTTCTGTAGAGCAATTCCATTTCTATACTTATTTGATTCATTGCAACTGCATATGATGGCTTCTATGGGCATATTTTAACATCAAATCAGCTCTGTAAGATGTGAGATACGCAAACGACTCATAGTATACAACGAAAGTGCTCCGACCTCTATTCTACACATGGAAGACGGCATCAATTAGTACCTGAAGAATAGCATGAAACTCTTCTTGAGCTATGGACATGCGATCTGTATCACTTGAATCTACCACGTAGATGATTGCTTGTGTGTTTGGATAATAGCATCGCCAGTACGGTCTGCGCCAATTTCCCAAAAAAAAACGGCATATAAACGCATTCAGCAGTCTGCGTCATAACTTAGAGAAATTGTTCATTCAAATCAACATTGCAACCAGAAAATGTAGACGGGGAGTTAATAACCTGATACTCGTTTGACCCCCTGCCATCATCACAAGTAGTTAGAAATACAAGATATTACAGATAACATATCAACGGATAAAATATAAGAGTATAATTGAGAGAATACAACTGAAGCAGTATGCCTAAAACATAGGTGCCATTGACATTAAATACTCAATAGGAACCTACAAATAAAAAATTAACATGCTGATAACACGAACCTAAATCCCAGACTTGAAACTTTATATTGTTGTATGTCACAGTCTCCACATTAAAACCAATAGCTGCGACCACCACAAACAAAGAAATGTGATCAGATGTGAGGATAGATGTTTAACGTCGATCCTGATTTTTTATACACGTCAAAGCATCTTTGTTTATAAAACATGTGCAAGGTTGTTGTCCCTCTAGGTAAGCAACGTGTGGATTTACTGACACTCCCAAACTGGCACTCCAAATCATTGAGTTGAGCTTTTTCAAGAATTCGATGCAAATTTGATGAGCAAATCTAGGCAAACAAAATCGGTAACTCCTGATGAGACAACCCAGTTCAAGCAGCAAGTTGAAATAGACTGAAAGTGAGAAAAAAGATGAAGCTGGTTACTACATACAATTCAAGAACTGTTGTCGGGCCTGACATCAATAGTATGATCAGGAAATTAAAAAGAAAATCTGAGTTCACTCACTTGGGATGGTTGAGACGACCTCCCCCACTTGCAATCGATCTGATCAGCGTGATTAAGGTAATAAACTTACACATTTCTCCACTAAAGTGGCAACTAATAACATCTAACAGCAAATAAACAAATAATCTTCAAGGCATGATCCATGACGAACAACACAAGCTAGAGCTATATAAAATTCCTCTCAAACCAAAGCAAGCGAATACATCCTCCGCGTCCTGCCCATGCACACCTTCCGAGCTTAACTGTTTGTTTTCCAAACCTAACCCACATTGGCTTGGTATTGACCTAAATCAGACAGAAAGCTTGAAAACAGCGTAAAAATGCCGCAACTATCCTAACCAGCAAGAGCTTGACTACAGTCGCATAAGCATAATGGATACAAAGGATGGTTGTTTTCCCGGCATTGTCCAAACCAAGGACAAGAATACGCGCTTCCTTATCCCCGAACAACGTCGCCAGCAGCCTGGACACAAATATGCCCATCGTGACTCCCTCTCCTATTCCTACAACCTCGGGGCACCAGCCTAATTTACAACTCAAACTCGCTCAAATGGAGCTCAAGCTGCGTCTCGATCTGATCAAGCCCTCGTAAAAGCATGCAACCACGCACGTTCGAACACACCAAGGCAGGAGGAAGTGGTATTATGTTGGAGAGAAAGCAGGAATGAGACGTGTTCGGACCACGGACGAACGGAGAGACTGTGGCCGACGGTCGCCCGTTACCGTCAATAGAAAAACGGTATATGATACCCCTGCAGGTGTTTATTCTTCGACCCACAATCTGTTAATATTCTAAGATACTGGCGGTTAATCCTTGGGAACGCCCTTCTACCATCTTAAAGTAAAAGCGCAGGGCATTCTTGGGTTTTTCTAGTGAGTTGGCCGCTGTTTGCGGCGAGTTTGTGACTGCGGAGATTGAATGTGCGTTTGGGTTTTGCGTTGCGGCTGCAGGGACGGCATCAACTCCGTTGTCTAGAAAGTTCTAGTTTGAGTATACGGGAAGGAATTAGAGTGGAGTGTTTGGTTAGAAGAATCGTTTGAGAGGTAGTGCAGTTGGTAGGACTTTACGGTGAGTGGGTATCGATGGAGGAAGGGGAAGCTACTACTAGTGAGGAAGAGTTCGAGACTAAAAAGCAAGCTAGAAGTCGGAAACAGAGGGAGAATCGAGCTGAAGCTCTACAGGAAGATGGAAAGAAGAATGAGGGATTAGGAGACGATGCGGTGGCAGCGGGTGAGAAGAAGCGTAAGAGAAAAGCTTTGCAAAATGCCCGCTCTAGTGTTCCTGGGAAACGAGGAGTGATTTATTTGAGTCGTATACCTCCACATATGAAACCTTTGAAGTTGCGGCATCTTCTTGAGCCGTATGGAGAAGTGCTGCGCATCTATCTTGCTCCTGAAGGTGATGTTTTCGATTTCTAGGGTTGAATTAGGGTTTTAGAGTCGGATTATTCAAATGCTTTTGGGTTTGGGTCTAAGATCAAATCACAGATTGGTAGTATCTGTGAAGTGTGGGCGTAATTTCTTTCAGTTCATGAGAACGAATTCCCGCGAAAAGCTTTATTTCTCTGGGGTTTTAGCTAAGTGGAGAGTGGAAATTCTTAGTGCATTTTTATCATAATATGCAGCTTGTGCAATCCTCAAAGCATAAGATTTATCGTTTAGTATCGTGTCAAGCATCAACGGTATGATTTCTTCGCTTTATTTTGCCTCGTTGGCAGCTGGGATTAAGCAGCTTGGATTAGTACCTGAAAGACTTTACAAAGATTTTGACGCGTCCCATTAGTGTCTTGGATTTAATCTCAGAGCACCTTATGTTGCTTCTCTTCAACGTCTGTTGTGGACCCTTGGACAGGGAAAGTCTCTTGCTGAATGGATCACCTGCGTCGCTCTTTGACAGTTTGAATGTGATACAGCTATTTATGTAAGCATGCATTAGTTGGCTAGATTGAATGTTGCATCTGACGTGTTGAATTGTGCATTGATTCCACAGATCCCGCCGCTAGATTGCGTAGAAAACGTGCAGGCGGAAATAGTGGCAAGAATTTCACTGAGGGGTAACCTTGTCGTAGTTATGAGCTCTTGATAATTTTTTTGGTGGTGTGAGATATGACGAGTGCAAATTATTAGTATTAATCTTCGCTCTTTCGGGTTGCAACTCAACATGTCTTTCCTTGTAGTTCACAGTCATGATGGATAACCTCCAAGGTCAATACTTGTGTCGCTGGTAGACTCATCTTTTATAATGATGTGATGTGCAGGTGGGTAGAATTTGCTCATAAAAGTGATGCAAAACGTATTGCCGTCATGCTGAATGGAGAGCCAATGGGTATGAGTTCTACTTTTTTGTTGTTTTTCGATTTTGGGGCTGCAACTGCTTCGAGCACTCAGAGGCCTGTTTGTTAGAGATTGTAGAGATTAGGGTTTATGTTAAAAAGGAACCTTGACTAACATGATTTTCTTGCGCACCCTTCACAGAAGCTTCGAAACGTTCAGCTTATCACTATGACCTTTGGAACATGAAATACTTGAAGAAGTTCAAGTGGGACAACCTTACTGAAGAAATTGGTACTCCTCCTTTGTAATTGGATTGTATCTGTGGAATTGTCTTGTATTTTTATGCTCGATTTTTTTTCATTTTATTTTAGTATATTTTATTACAGACATGATCATTGTGTGTCTAATATCTCAAGAACAAAGGACTGCAACTCAATGATCAAAACCAGTAACATTGAATTTTTCCTGCAGCTTACAAGAATGCTGTTAGGGAACAAAGATTGGCTGCTGAGATTTCAGCTGCCAAGAAAGAGCGTGATTTCTACCTATCTAAGGTTGATCAATCTCGAGCTATCGCTTCAATGGAGGAGCGGAAGAAAAACGTACGTTAATTCTTGTCATGCCAGGGTTGTTTTATAATTGCTCTGCAATTATCCTTGTTCCATTTTGATGTTCATCATGCTCCCAACGTTGCAGTAGCCAAGTGTATCTGAATATGGAGGTGCCTGTACCGATCAGCCTCTCTCTCGCGCTCTCAGCTATTGCTTCTTTAAATTGTTCTCACCGTTGCTTTGAAATTGCTTGCAGAAGAAGGATCTAGAACAATCTCAAAAGCCTGACGGTGTGGAGAAGCCTGCCATCGAGAAAAAGTCTGCCAGTGAGAAGCCGAGGCTGGTGCGAAACTTCAATCAAAAGAAACCTGTTGCTGACGGCATGACAAGCAATGTCGCTACACTATCACGTGATGTGCTAGCAGGGGTAACGTCACTTTTTTTCTTCTCACATTTTTATATAGTATCAGTTGAAAGTAAGCTGATGGTAGCTTTCATCTCATGAAATACTTTTGTTTACACAACATAAACACCTAACCTCACACTTCTTGGATGTTTTGCAGGTTTTTGGTGGTAAAAGAGCTTATTAATGGGCGAAGCATCCAAGTAGACTAGGTCATGCTATCAATGTGGGTCATCCTACCAATGTGGGTCATCCTGATCTGTTATTTTTTCGGTGATAATTGCAACTAAGGTGTGAGGTACAACATTTACAGTGCTGTGATGCGCTTTATCTCCTATTTTTCCACCTACTCACAATGGTTCACACTATAGAGATGAAGTCATGGATGTCTCAAGGACAACCAAAATGATAAGAGGGAAAGGTCACGTATAGCATCTCTGCATTAGCAGAATAGAGGGTCTGAAGTTGATCTTTGCTGTGTAAAGGCATCGGCGACAAAAAGTATGAGACGGCTAATCTGTATTTGCTGGCTTGGTTATCTGGCGCAGTAGGTGCTCTTGGACAAAATTATGGTTGGTGCACCCAGTAAGGGTTTCACATATTATCTCAATTTTGATATTTTATTGTCCACTCTCCTGCCATCAATACCATGATGTTGACGTTTTTTCCATGTTGATGTTAGCGGGAAATTAGAAGGCTGATTCACGCAACTCTTATTCATTGAAGGCGATATGACCTTCATTAGTAATGTGTTCATGTTTGGCTGATTTGCAGAGTCTTTTTTATAAGGTAAGCAATGTTAGTGGTATTTTAACACAAAATGTTGTGCAATATTTGAATATCATTAGGATTAATGGTGATAAAACTTTGATTTGTTTTAGTAATGACATTAAGAAACAGTATTAGCTGAAGTATAAAATGATTTTTTAAAAAAGGTTTACTTTTAAGAATTTTAAAAGTAATACGACCATTTTTACATATGTTAATAGATTTTAATAACCATATTTAGTCTGAATTAATCAATATGATTAAGATAATTAAGCCATGTTTTTATCCTATCAAAGAATACTAAAGCATAAATTATTGTAGCAAGCTAGGTAATTTTTTTTAACACAAACAAATAAAAAATATATACACACATAGGTATGTTTTATGAAGATTACTCCAATATCAACAATTAGTTAATAAAATGACTGCAAATTTGCCAAAGAAGCTTTGAAATAATGTGATCAAGAATAAATTATATGTATAAAACAATAACATTATAGAACATGGTACTTACCAACTTAATTAGTCAAATTATTAAAAAAAGATGTCAACTTAATGGCTTCAAATGTTAATTTATTTATTTTAATTTGGACTATGCACAAATACCTAATCTATTTAAATAAATGGAAACAAATTATAAGTAGAAATAGGTAAAATATGTTGAGTAAATAACATCTTTTTAAAGAAAGTTTAAAAGATCTTATTAGATATAAATTGGAACTATGTGTATACTTGATTGCACTGTGTGGATATAAAAACTTTTCTTAGAGGTTCTTCACATTTAAGAAGTAGCTCAAGAAGTGATTTATAATTTTAGTCATTTGTTCCACAAGTCTTGTAGTTCTTGTAATGCCTCCACATGACCTTATTTGACGAAGACACTATCAAACATATACAAAAAATCTTCTACCTCTAACAAGGTACATTTGATGAGTTGTTTATTAAATCTAAAGATGAAAAAATGTATGTTTATTGCTGATTACATTAATGAATTCAATGTGATTACAAATCAATTGAGCTTTGTGGAACTAACCTTTGATGACAACTCAAGGCTTTGATTTAATTGTCTTTGTTACTTAAAAATTGGACCACAACTGTGACTACAGTGAAGAGCACTTCAAGAAGTATGAAGTTGAAACTTGATGAAGCTTGAGATTTAATTCTCAACAAGAATGTTTGCATGAGAGAGTTTGGTGTATCTTTGGATTCTATCTTGAATATTAAAGATAGAAGAAGAAGTCATTAATGAGGAGTATATCTTACATTATATTAATAGAAGTTATAAGATATAAGATTACAAATAGTACTCAATGAAATGTAAGATATATTTCTTGCTTAAAGTGAAATCTGATTTCTATGAAGCAACTACATAACATGGGATATACAACAGAGTTTGGAGTTGTTCATAGAAAATCTCAAAAGATTCTATGATTGTAACAAGAGGCAAGAAGTTGAAAATATTGTATTTGACTAAAAAAGGCAAGCACACAATAGCAATGTCAAAATAAGAAGCTGTTTTAAGGCACTAGAGACTTAGACACATGAATAAGAAAGGAATGAAACTACTAGTATCAAAGGAATGACTACCTAATTTGAAGGATATTGATATTGATATATGTGAAGATTGTGTCTATGGAAAATAAAAAGAATTAGTTTCTCAAAAATTGGAAGGCAATCAAAGTAAGAAAAGTTGGAGCTAGTATATACAAACATATGAGGACGTACTTCAATTTAGTTCCTTGGAGGTTCATGCTATTATGTCACCTTCACTAAAAATTCTACTAGAAAAATATGGATTTATTTCTTGAAAAAAAAATCTGATATGTTTGCTACTATTAAAAGGTAAAAAACTAAAATTGAAAGTCAAACCAACCTAAAAATCAAATGTCTGAGATTGAATAATAGAGAAGAAAATGATAGCATAGAGTTCAAGACATTTTGTGTAGAAAATAGAATTTGAATTACAAAACAATTCTAAGAACTCTTGAACAAAATGGTATTGCTAAAATGATAAATAAAACTTTAAATAAGCATGAAGATACATTTAAGATTAGCTAATCTCTTTTAGGTAGATGCAATTAACACAACCATTTACTTCATAATTTGAAGACCTTCAATTCAATTAGACTTCAAAATACCAAACAAGATATAAATAAAAAAAAAATGATAAATTTTTCTCTCTAAAGAATTTTTGAATATATTTCATATGTACAATTAGACTTTGATAAGAGAGAAAACCTTGATCCTAATACTAAAAAAATGTTATTTTATTGGTTATGGTTTTGATGATTTTGATTATTATTTTTGAAATGATCAAAATAGAAAAGTTATTAGATATAAGAATATAACTTTTAATGAAGAATTATTCTATAAAGACAAGCTCATAGTAGGATTTGACAATGCAAAAATAAAAAAATAGATAATAAAAAAATAAACAAACAAAGAAAAGAAAAATCTTTATTAGAAGAAATATTAAAAATTAATGTGGTTATTTGGGTCCTAAAAAATCTCAAGAATATTGCAATACAACAAATAACAAAATAAGAATCAATTGCTCTTCATGTGGTGGTAAGAAAATTGAGAAGGATTTCTAAACTTCTAAATCAATATTCTCCTTTCTTGTATTATTTACTCTTGATTGATGGTGGTGAACCAAAATATTTTGCTCACACAATACAAGTAAAAGACTTTGTTAAGTGAAAATTGGCTATTCAAGATGAGATGGCTTCTTTAGAGAAAAATAAAATATTGATATTGACTTACTTATCAAATGGAAAAAAGACATTAAAAAATAAATAGATATATCTTATCAAAGAAGAAAATGGTGGAAGCACAAGGTACAAAGTAAGATTAGTTACTAAAGGATTTTAGCAAAAGATTGGAATTGAATTTCTTGTTATCAAAATAATAAGTATAAGATTTGTATAAAGTATTGTTATTGCCTAGAACTTGCATTTAGAATAGTTAGATATAAAGATTTCATTCTTGTACAATAATATAAATGAAGATACTTACATGTTGCAACCAAAAGTCTTCTAAGTTTTTGATAAAAAAAAGTTTGGTATATAAATTAAAGAATAACTTGTATGGCTTAAATTAGGCTCCAAGGCATTATTATAAATTTTTTGATGGTTGCATGTGTGATAATAGCTTTATAATATGTGACATAGATTATTATTATTATTTTAAGAAAATTAATAGGTCTTATATTTTTTTACTTTTGTACATTATTGAAATGCTTATTATTAGTTCTAGCATAAAAGATATCAATAAGTTAAAGCAATAATTGATAAAGAAATTTGAAATGAAAGACTTGAAACTTTCAAAAGAGATATTTGGAATGAAGATTACTAGGGATAGAGTCAAAAAAACTCTAGATCTATTCCAAAAGAGTTATATAAAAGAAAATATTGAACATATTTAATTTTTATCATGCAAAGCATAAAATTACTTCTTTACAAGGTCACTTCAAACTTTTAAAGTAATAATCACCAAAGACAAATGAAGATCAAAAGTACATGGAGAAGATTTTGTATGTTTTGGCAATTAGAAGCTTCATGTATGATATGATTTGTATCAAATCTAACATAAAACATACAGTAGGAGTTGTAAGCATATATATAGTGAACCTTAGAATGATACATTCGGAAGTTATAAAATGGCTATTGCAATATCTAAAAGGCACTTCAAGTTAAGTAATTTGTTTTAAGAATAGTAGTATGAATTTGTAAGAATTTATTGATGCAAATTTGGGTAGTGACTTAAATAGTTGTTGAAGCTTAAGTTTTGTATTTCTATAGAAGGTTTTGTAGTAATTTGGATGTTTAAACTTGAAAAAGTATTGCTTACTAACTACTAAAATAAAATACATGATCATCTCTAAAGTTAAAAAAGAAATGATTTGTTTAAAGAATATTCTAAAAGAATTAGACAAAAAGCAAGTTAACAATGCTTTTTTCAAAAATTATCAAAAAGTAGTTCATCTTGTAAACAATCAAATATTTTATTCAAGAAAAAATCATATCCAATTGAAATATCATTTTATATGTTAGCTTATGGATAATGGAACATTGTCTTTGAAGAAGATCTTAGGATCATAGAACCTAACAAACATGTTTATTAAGTTTGTCAACATTGAGAAATTGAGATTGTACAAAGCCTCAATTGGCTTCTACAATTATTGATGAAGAGACACAATACTAGAATCAATTTTTAAGATTATTAGAAGAAGGCAAGATTACAAGAAAGTTGTTGTTTTTAGATTAGTCTACAAATGGAAGATTATTATTGTATAGAGCCTTGTTCATACTTGTAACAAATGTAGAGGGATTAGGATGGTACTAGCCCTTCCTATTATAGCCTTATTAGACAGTCAATGGGCAAGATTAAGGTATAACACTCTTTACTAGGGTTTTCAGAGGCATAGCCCTTATAACTAGTAAAAGATATGCAAATACCTTATCATGAAAATAAAATTATCTAATCTAATTGAGCTTGCTGTTACAAAGCTTAATCTAATTTTTCTTATGATTAATTTTTGTGCATTGGTGTCTATCCAAAATTCAACTTGTGTCTTTGAAAGTTGGTAGAGTTTATTGGTGTCTATTCAAAATTCAACCTCTGACTTTGAAAGTTGGTAGAGTCTATTGGTGTCTATCCAAAATTCAATCTCTAGCTTTGAAAGTTGATAGAATTCATTGGTGATTATGTTTTATTATATAATAATTTGCATACTTTATTAGAGTACATTTGTATTTCTTGATTTATTTTTGTAAGCAATAATCTTAAATTTATATCAACTTAATTCAAAGAATTAATTTAGATAATATCATATACAAATATAATATATAATTGATTAATAT